GCCTATGAGCCAACCTGAGCTGCTATAACATGTGGAAAGGAGCTGTATTGCCACTGCTAACTATACATTTCTTGAGCCTGCAATGACAGTCCAACCTCAGAAGGACAAAACGTATGACTGTACCCGCACCACAAACTTCTGACGCGACAGTGATTTGGTAAGGGTAGAAGGGTTTGACCCCTGATGGATGAGGCTACAGCCTGTGCAAGGACTTTCACATCTATGTCTCAGGTTTCCTAAACAAAATTATGCATTATTTTGTACCATGCAAGAGTGCTGCATGGAAAACACATCTAACACAATGTACATGCTATACAGTCGAATTGCATATGCACAGTGGCCACTTGCAGATGCCTGGGAACAGGAGGGGACCTCATCTGTTCCCATTAACCCACATAGAGCAAGAATTATGCTAGGTAAAAAAAAAAAACGCCCGCCTTGTGTATGTACCTTTATAGATATACCAGCACAACAGCATTTTTCCTGATAAGGAGTCAGAGGATCTCTGAGTCCACAGGGCTGTGTCCCACCACTACGAACTCAACATATGCTGAAGGTCCCACAAAAAGGGTGCATGCAACCCCTCTCCTTGCACCAAACCCAGGCTCTCCCAGCCCAGCACAGAGGCACAGCCAGAGCTCAGCCCAAGGCACAGCAGTTTTAAAGAGGGCTCTGAGTTCAGTCTCATTTGAAGACCTACCAAGTAGGAAGGTCTTCAGGTGCTTGCGACTATCAAAGCACTTCGTGGCACAACCACTACCCCTTCACAACACCCCTGGCTAGCAAGCCATTACTGATATCTCAATTTCATAGACAAATGAGCTAATAGAGAGTGAGCCTGGGAAGAAAGAGAGTAAACACACTCATATGTTTACACCTGCACATCAGGACCTGCCAGATACTTCCAATTCTTCATAAGGTCAGCAGGAGGTAGAAGTCCTCAGCACTTCTGAAAAGCCTAAGGTACTCAGTTGGAAGTGAAACAGAGGCCTGAATGACCTCCTTAGTTCTACAGTAATCAGAAGGACAAGCAAAAGCTCCTGAGGTCTTTTTCTTCACTGCAGGACATAAATCCCATTTACTTAAACAGGAATTTATGTCACGCAGGAAAAAGATAGGGCCTTAGCTTCTAGTTCTGCACACAGGTGGCAGTTCCTTTGTCCTTCTCTTCCACGTCTTTTTCCTTTCTCAAAATAGAAGCAGCAAGAATAGTGACCCACTACTGTTTCTGTAGCCACAGATTGGATTTAGACAGGAATGACTGATTAAAAGTTGTGAATTAGGGTGATTTTGCTGAGTCTGTAAAATAGCTAGTAGAGGACGCAGGGCAGCTGAGTGACAGCTGAAAAACACATTAGAATGAAGTAAAGCTTGCAAGCAGCTGTATTGAGCAAAGAGGCCAGTAAAGATTAAAAAGACAAGCTTGTGATCATGTTAAGAAGTTTTAATAAACCAAGAGACCTAGACACAAAGGAAAAACAGGGATCAGAACTGAAACCTGCTTCAGGATCAAAAGGCAGCAGCAAAGAGACAGAAGGGAGCCAAGTGACTCAAGTTCTCTCACCTATGTGAGAAGCTGTCCAGCCACCCAGTCCGGACTCAGTTAGGACTCCAGGAGAAGTGGGAGAAAAATGCCAACAGCAAGAAGAAAGATAGATTACAAACCCAAGTATAAGACATTGTAAGGATGAGCCTAAGGCATCACGGTAACACACAGAAAGAGGCTTCATTTGGAAATGCCATCATCAGATGTAAGTGCACAGGATTCAAAAGAGAACAGAGCTGTGCAACACAACTTGGATCTCTTATTACACAAAGAAAGGTTAGGGCAGGATCCACCACAAATGGTTTGTAATTTATCACCTGTCTTTGTAGGGGATGCTTCCCACACTGACTGTAATGGAAGTTTACATCAGACATCTAACTCAGTAAAGACAGCTCCAGAGAAAAGCTCACACATAACCACAGACCTAAATTAAAAACCGTTATGAAGGCAACAGTTCAGTTCAAAACCAAATGGACTGATAATGAAAATTAATAAATAATGCTTGTCTCATACAGTCTCTCTCATGATGGCACTGTCACAGTACCAGACAATGGAAGCAACAGCATTTATTCCAATGTATAAATGGGAAATTTGAGGCAAGGAGTGACTTGTCCTGTACCACCTCCCAGGTCAATAACCAAGCTGAAATCAGACCCAAGCAATTTCAGCCAGCAGCACATCAGCCAGGAGCCACACTGCCTCCCAGACACTAAGGGAGATGCTCTGAAGCAGATAATTAACCTTTCAAATCCACACTGAGCTTTAGTTTTCCCTTTCCAAAAAGCAGAGGGAAGACTCAAGATAGCTTTCAACTGTATGTCTATCTATTTCAAAAATGGTATTTGAGAGAGAAGAATTTGGCATGCTAAAGCAAGATCTTTATGTCAAGGCTGCATGTAATGGAGCCTCATATATTGTGGTTGGGAGCGAAGATTTAACAAGGTGGCTGTGCAAAACAGGGCACTACAGTTAAAGCTGAATGCTCTCTGGAAGTGATTAAATGAGTTACAGTCCATACCTAGAGGATGCTCCGAACTGACAGTTTGGAAAGTGACTTTAATGGCATCAGTAGAAGTGGAGGGTGACACTCATGACAGGTAGTTTGACATTACGTTGAGCACTTGGCTCCAGAGCACCTGCAATTTCCCTACAGATTGGTTTCATGGTGTTTTTCCACTTGTCTAAAGCCCAAATACCTTGCAAAGGACTCTGTCTTCTTTCCAGGACTTGTCAAGAGCAGGAGGAAAATGTGCCTTTGTCATTGGATGGTGCTTCAAGCTGACCCAGCTGCCTGGGTATCTGCCACTCCAGCCACCACCATCCCTCTTCACCCTCAGGGACCCACCAGGCAATTCAACCACAGGCAAAGGCAGCAGACAATGAGCAGGCTGAGCACATTGCTGTGGCTTGCCCAAGGAGCAGGTAAGCACTCGGGGTGTCAAGTCCTCCCCAAGCTCAGCACTATGGCATCTGCACTGCCCAGTATGCAAGCTGCTGAGCTTGGAGGGGCCACAAGTCTCCTCCCATACTGAAGTGATGAGTTCTACTAGGAGCAACCTGAGGACCAAGAGGAAGTCTGCAGCAGACAGTACCCACACACAGCAGATCCCCACCTGCCTGTATTTCTTCCCAACCCAGCAAAGCGGGAACTGAGCCTAAGCTCTGTCAGTTCCACAGCCGACCGGCACTGTCAGCCCACTGATCCCAGCCCCTGCTGGCTGTGAGCTCAGGTCCCTGTGGGAGCTCCCTCTTCAGAAGAATAACTGATTCTGAGGCCTTTTGTCATGTTAGCTCAGCAACCCATTTCCAGAGCTGGGAAAGGGACAATGGGAAAAGCAGGCTGTTCCTGTGGCTGCCTCCTCCACCAGTACAGGGGCTGCACTGTAGTTGGTTAGGGTGCCCATGGTGGGGACTACGCATCACACAAGTGGCGGCAGGAGGGAGGGCAGCAGTAAAGCAGTGCAGCCTGTGAGACTTAAGTGGCTCTTCTGAATTTAACACTCTTCAAAGGCAGCATAGGAAGGAAAAGCAATTTTCCAGTTGTGTTTCTTTGTGCTGCATAAAAGGGTGCCAAGATTGTTCCTGAGCCTCTTTCAAACCTGCTAATTTCTCCCCAGTGCTTCAGTGTATTTTTACCTACACTATTTTTCTTAGAAGGCTTTATGGAAAAGTGGCAGAGGGGAAGGACTGCTATTTCAGCTACTCCTACTGAAAACAGAGTGGTTGTTTCTAAGAACATGTAGCATGTATCAAGTGTTTTGTGTATTTTCTTCACCCCTTCCCTAACTCCCAGAGACAAGAGCTGTCTCTGCACACCCCAGCTGCTCCTTTAAGAGCAGAGACATTTCTGTTGCCTCCAGGGAAATATGGTGAAGAACAGACTTCATAGCCCTGGTTATTTCTGATTTTACAAAGACAGAAGGACATTTGCAAGCTTTTCTTTATGTATCACAAGGGAACAGGAAGATTAAAAACATGGACCTGTTTACTCCTCCTGTTGCTTTTAAGAGCCTCTCAGCCCTCAAGCCTATTCATGTGCAGGACAACCCTAGGTGCACATGGGCAGCCCAAACTGCCGCATTAAAGGACATCTTGGAGGTACAGACCTGTTGGACAAGTGACCCAGGCAAATGACCTGACAGCAACAGCCCACGGGGTGTGTTGGGCTTCGGAGAAGCATGGGAGGGGATGGACACAGGACCAAAAAAAACAACCGGTCCCACTTTCCCCACGCCACAGCCCTGCTGGCACCCACAGTTCAGCCCTCCTTCTCCAGGCAGCATCACCTTGTGAAGCATCCAGACCCCAGCCAAGACAGCCTGCAAGTATGACTATACTACTGCATTTTCTACAGTATCTTTCATAAAGCAGGTTGTTATTTTCCTGGCAACTCACTCATGAGCTACTGAGCAATGGGCAGGTTTTCCTCTTTGATGGTAACAGCCGTACATTTCTGACACAGGCATATTGATTGCATCTCTGTAGCACCCAAATTCAGTTCTTTTAATAGAGGTTTTATTGCTGTTTTCACCAACGTACCAAGAATGTCTCTTTTAAAAACATACCGAGCTTGTTTGCTATCATGGACGGTCTGTTTCTCCAGCAGTATAATATCCACTCTGTCATCAGGGTTTGAGTTGAAATCAATCCAGAAATACAATGTTGGTTCAATAATGACCCACTTCAGCAGAATAAATCATTGCTTACCTCACTGCAAGCGTGGCTCATGCTGCACCCAGCCACCTATTTGGAACCCATTATTCCCTATAATCAACAGCACAGGTGTTGGGGGGGCTGCTCTCTTCCCTTTCTACACGGGAATACACATGATCTCACCACTCACTTTTAAGCACCCATGGATACATGGTACTCAGCTACAAGGGACACATAATGGAGGCAATGCATCTTCAGTGAGGAAAAATGACAGTCAGAATAAGGAGACTAAACCAATTCATCACTTAATGCAAAGTGTTATTGTGCTGCAACGAGAGCATTGCACAGATTGATTACAAACAAGCTGACACCTCCCTATGGGCTGTCTGCTATATTATTATAAATAAATACCCATTCATTTTGGAGTCCGTATCACTGCAGAGGATAGATTATACCTCAGGTACACAGTAAATATCCCACTGAGTACAATGTCCCTTCCTCACCAACAAATGAGTTTTGTCTCACATAATACAGTTTCATAAACAAGATAAGGGAACAGAGAAACACCAAGAGAGAGAGAGATCTGAAAAAAAGCTCAACTGATATTAAGGAGCTATTTCCATGAAGGACATGCTAAAAACTCAGTGACTTTCTGTGAGAGGGGAGTCAAGGGAGGGGGATGCAACCACGGAAGGCTCGTCCTTGCTCTTGAAAGGGAGCAAGTCCTGAACAGCTTCCCAAATTCTCCAGACATCACTGAAACAAAAGCAAACCCTTTTAGTTTCCAACATCTAGCAGTTCATGCTAACCAGGCTCTAATCAAGCATGCTGCAGCATTTGGAAACATAAGAGCAGCTTAAAAAGGCTGCATGCTGGAAAGTAAACAGCCTGGGAAAAACATGGCCTGTCTTTATCTCTTCCCCACCTCTGTCTGCTAAGCCACCATCTCCAGGGGCCACTGGAGCATCCCATGCCCAGAACAGCCCAGACACCTCCTGCTCCCAACAGCTACCGCTCAGGGGAGATGTGGAAGCTCAGGTACTCGGCTAAGGCTTGGCAAGCACAAGAATCATAGAACCAGCTAGGCTGGGAAAGACCTTTAAGATCATCAAGTCCAACCATTACCCCAGCACTGCCAAGTCCATCACTAAACCATATCCCTGGGGGCCTCATCTACACGTTTCTTTGGACACTTCCAGGAACAGTAACTCCACCACTTCCCTGGGCAGCTGTTCCAATGCCTGATCACCCTATCTGTGAAGAAATTGTTCCCAATATGCAATCTAAACCTCCCCAGCACAGCTTGAGGCCATTACCTCTTGTCCTATCACTTGTAACTTAGGAGAAGACTCAGGCAGAGGAAAAGCCCATCTCATGAGATGAGGTGGGACCAGCTCAGCCTAGTGGAGTGTGAGGTGAGAACTGGTTAAAGGAATGCTCCGCCATATATGCATTATTCATTGACCACTTTTCTTATTTAGCCTGGGGGTTTCAAACATTCTGCATCCAGGAGGCAGTATTTTAAGCTGAGAGCAAAAGTACCACCACCAGCTCTGCTCTCAGTGCCTGTGCTTGAGTCAGAGCAAGGCTGCTCCTGCAGTCCCATGTCTTCAGCAGTTCTCTGCTCACGTACTGCTACAAAAAGAAATACCTTCTTAATACTTTCTTTCCTCCTCTATGCTACTCAGCCGGCTTCCAGTGGTTTGCGAGAACTGAGGCTTGTTTGAGCAATGCTCTTCCACCCTCACACAGATTGTGACAGCCCCTGGAAGGGGAAAAAAAAAAATCCAACAATAATGGCTTTTATCAGTCTTTCACACATCGGGGAAAGGGACACCCTTGCTGGGCTGTCCTTACACACACATGTAGGCTGGGGGAAACGTCACCTCCATGATTCGCAAGGCAAAAGACTGGAGGTGTTGCATGCAAGTACAGTGATTGCACCCCTTCACCTTCCAGGTGACCTGGTGCCAAGGAGTTTGATGGGTACCGGCAACTCCTCTGAAAAAATAAAAGCTTCCACTTCACGGGATTTATTCTGCCTTGAAGGGATCGGGAAGCTTGACGTTTGCTCACATTTTGGCTTCCAAAGCCCAGCTGAGCCTGTGGGTGGGCTTTAAGAAACGGATGAAAATCTACAGGAGGAGTGCTGGAGCAGGAGCACAGTGCTGGCAGGGTCTCTCAGCCCTGCTCAGCACAGAAAGCAGGCAGCCCTGCATGAGCACACAGCAAGGGCACACCAGCACTTCCCAGCTGATGCTGTTTGTCCCTCTGCACCTCTCCACTCTCCTCTAACTCACAGCCGGTTGCATGACATCTCCCAGCTCCTTCCAGAAGGCCTCAAGATGCTGGCAGCAGAGGTGGGGTTATACTGCCATTAGAAAGCTGCAAGAAATAAATAAGATAAAATATATTCACCACAAACGGTCAAGCTGTGGGCTCAGGGGTTTCTGCCTCATTTTCCTTTTCAGTGACTGGATTGCCAGACAGGTCTACAGAAGCCAGCTCAGAAAAGATCCTCACCAAGATTCAGCATTTCACATTACCCCTGATGCTCCTGCCTTTCATCCCTCCTTCTCCAAACTGAGTAAGAGAAAACCTTTGAGACCCTTTTGGTTTTGGACATGTCAAAAAGAGAAAAATCCTCAACCTTCCCACACCCTCTAGAAAACAAACAGGAATTGTCCCATTTCACAGAGAAGGAGGCTGAAATAAACAGCCAACAGACTGAAGCCAGGCAGAGCTGAAGAAGTCACAGAAAAGCAAAGAAATAATCCGGATTTGCAGTTGCCAAAGTCTGTGCATTGCTGTCACATGCAGAGAGACCTCACACATACAGGAGAACAGCTCTGAATAGCAACAGTATGTTTGCTAATGCCAGTAGCAGAACATAAAGTGGAAACAAAAGCAGCATTTTTTATTCCTCTTTCCATTATCTCTTTTTTATATTTTCCTTCACTTCACCAGCAGAGAAACACTTCCCTATGCAGGCACAGAAAAAGTGAAGATAATCAGGCAATTTTCCATCTCCAATCAAAACGGTAACTTTCCCTTTGATTATAAATTCCAAACAAAATTAATACTGTTCCATTTCCTTTGACTCTTTTACAAAAAGCAATTGCCATTTTTCAGTCATGTCTCCTGGCTTTCTCCCTACACATTATTTTCCAGGCCTTTCTAAGCACATTTTGTAAAAGCAGTAACTGATATTCAAAGGATCAGAGAATGATTTGAGTTGGAAAGGACCTTAAGATCATCTAGTTCTAACCCCCTGCCACGGGCAGGGACACCTCACACTAAACCATGTCATCCCAAGACTCCCAGGGACTCCCAAGACTCCCTGGCCTTGAACACTGCCACGGATGGGCAGCCACAACTTCTCTGGGCAACCTGTGCCAATGCCTTACCACCCTCACAGTAAAGAGCTTCTTCCTTTATCTAACCTGAGCTTCCCTGTTTAAGTTTGAACCCATTACGCCTTGTCCTATAGCTGCAGTCCCTAACGAAGAGTCCCTTTTCAGCATCCTTTTAGGTCCCCTTCAGATACTGGAAGGCTGCTATGAGGTCATCCAACACAGAGCTGCTCTTTCCATTTCTCTTTTGGTTTAACAGAGCCCTACAGACCACAGTGAGATGATTTCAAGCCATCACCCTATTTCATATACCCTCAGTCTCTTTTTCCTCTGCAAGAGATCCCCACTATGAAAAGGCAAGGCATAAAACCTGGTGCTGCCAGGCACCCTTCAGCTCCCCCTTTCATGTGGGGAACATCCTTCCAGCCCACAGCCCAGGGCTCTGCTGTGCTCTTACCAAGCTTAAATAGGAAGGAGAAGATGAGTTCAGAGGTTGCACGGCTCATTGCACTATTGCAGAAAGTGCTACTGCAGCTCTTGTACACTAATGAAAGTGGAATAGGAAAATTTTGCTAAGTAGCTACTATGAGAACAGAGACAAATTGCAGTAAAACCACAATATGAGTAGTTTGTGTCCTTACATGCACCTCAAAAAAGCCACAGAGTTTACATTAGATCAAGGATTTTGCTTGCATCCTGATAAACAATAAAACTACGAGAGCCACTGCACTTTATCACCAGATCTGCAAGTGTCACACTGAGGGATTCAGTGCCTGTCTCCTGCTCCACCAAGAGGGGAGCAGAGCTGCTGAAGAAATCAATTATTTCAGACACGCAAGGGGATGGAATTCAAGCACACAAGTCCCATCCAAGGCTTTACTGGATGGGCAGGACCACTTGTTAGATTTGCATCTGGGTAGTGGTAGTGATTACTTCCAAATTTGGAGCACCTCTGCTATGGAAACAGGCTGAGAGAGTTGGAGTTGTTCAGCCTGGAGAAGAGAAGACTCTGGAGAGACCTTAGAGCAGCTCTGAGTGCCTAAAAGGACCTACAAGAAATCTGGAGAGGACCTTTTTACAGGGGCAGGTAGGACTAGGATGAGGGGGAATAGTTTAAAACTGGCAGAGGGGAAATTTAGTTTAGATATAAGGAAGAAGTTCTTCCCTGTGAGGGTGGTGAGGCACTGGCACAGGCTGCCCAAAGAAGCTGTGGCTGCCCCATCTATGGCAGTGTGCAAGGCCAGGTTGGATGGGGCTTGGAGCAACCTGATCTAGTGGAAGGTGTCCCTGCCCATGGCAGGGGGTTGGAACTGGGTGAGCTTTAAGGTCCCTTCCGACCCAAACCATTCTGTGATTCTATAAAATTTCACAGCATTCAAGTGCCAGGAGATCAAAGGGAGCTCAATGAGACCAGCTCACCCACTTCCTATGTGTATTACCCAGGTCACAAGAGAATAGTGAGCAACACACTGCGATCACTCTTTGCTCTGGGCTGATGCACAGCACAGCAGGGGGATGGTAGAAACAGCTCATGGCCAGGCAAGAAGAGATGTGACCCCACGTGAGATCTGAGGGTCCAAGTAGCCCTCTCACCTCTCACCATGAGCCCTTAGCAACATGGTTTAGACAAGATGAGCATCTCACCCTGTGGCAGGTCAGCCTGCATCCCAGGAGGTCATCACCACAGCACCCTCACCCACCGGGCAGGGTATCAAAGACACTTGAGGTTTTACCTTACCTGTGCATGAGGATATCAGTGTGATGCACAAGGGTGCCTGCACGTCATCTCTTAGGGGTGAGAGAAAAAAGGCCAGCAGTAAAATAAAGGCAAGCCTGTCATAGCAGTGTTTATATGCTCCATTGCCTGCCAAACTGAAAAGCAGCAATATTCCCAGTGTAGCAAAGCCCAGCTTTCAACGTTCTCTTCCAAGTTAAAATCTTTAAGGAAGCAAATTCTGTACTGTTGAGGACATCTGTGATGCTAACCCCACACCAGAAAGTAAATAAAAAGTAGCAAAAGCCAGATTTGCCTTCTTATCAGCCCTTCCTAAAGCACCACTTATTAGTGCCATAACTAGCTGGCTGAAGCATCCTTAGAATTTAATAAAAACCTGGAGGAAAAGGAGGGGATGATGTTACGCCATACAAGAAATATTTATTCTTTGCAGCTAAGGTAACACAAACACGGAGCCTAACATGGCCAGCAAAAACTGCCCATAACATGTACTCTTATTTCTCTGTAGCCTAGTCACCCTGTCAGCTTAATTAAAGGGTAAATTAAAACACTCCACAACCCAGAAAGATTGTTTTTCTAAAGTGAAACTCCAGAAACTAGATGAATATTTTTCCTTCCTTGCAATGTGGATACAATGTGGGCTCTTTCTCATTTACTGGGTTTGGTCTGTGCCCCCCAGAGAAAGAAGATTAAAGCATGCTCAGTCCTACCACCTCCACTTTGCAATGGCAAGGACAGACTAGGGCCAGATGGCCACCAGCTTCCCATGCCTGCCTAGGAAAGGGTTCTCAGGGAATTCATTTTCCTAAGCAGCACTGAAAGCCTCTTACAAACTGTAGGGGGATGAAGAAGAGGAAAACATTAATTTCAGCATAATTGAAAATACGGTTTTTAGTCACTTACACGCCCTCTCCAAATAGCTTCCCTTCCCCCCCCCCCCCCCCGCCCGCTTAATTTAATCATCCTTTCTGCCGGCTTCAGAAATTCCCCGTATAGACAGTGACATCTAGTGAAGGAAAACCGAACTTCTGCAGAGACAGGGCTGCAACGTGAGAGCCGAGACCGGGATTTGGAAATGCTGGAAGGGAGATCACCAAGGGTCACTTGCAAACAAGGCTGAATTACAACCAAGCAGAAACTCATTTATTCACCTAGCAACAAAACTTGCGTGCTTGTGAAGCACTGCATTTCACTTGCCTGGGAAAAAGAAAAAAAAAAAACTATAATCGAAAGCAAGGCTGAATTCACAGGACATTTCTGATTGCTGGAAGGGCTGCCAGCTGCTGGCTGGAGCCCACTAATGCATGGAAGGAGGCAATGACAGATCCCCGTCCTTATAATTATACCCGCAACAGGTACCTCTGCAGCTGCTGTGGTGCCAGAACACTTGGTGGCAACTCTGGCCTTTGCACCCTGGACAATGTAATGAAACCTTGTAATTGCAATTACTGGAGCTATTTTTGCAGGGGAAGAAGCCTGGGTAACTTGTGTAGCGACAAGAACCCGAGTGCTCCTCATTGCTGCTATTAAAAAGCTCTGTCCCTCTCCACCCTGCAGGCACACCAGTCTTCCTGAGCACTCACCTTGAGCCCTGGCGTGCAAAGAGCTCTTAATGAGCTCCATGTCTCTTCTCACATTGGAAGAAGTATTTCTCCAGGAGCAGAGGTGCATACATTCAGGACTAAGCAGAGCTCAATTGTGAGCTGAGTAACAGGCAACACTGCTCGGAGGGACTCAGACCAGGAGTTCAAGTGCTCAGCACCACAATTAGCCTAAACTCTGAGAACGGCTTTGCCCTACCTCCTCGGTGAGGATGTCTCCCCTGGGCCTGACAACCTAGTGATGGAAACAAGAAACAGATCCTATCTCTGTCGTAGTTCCCCTCTACAGCAGTAAAGGTCCAGGGGAGGAGACAGCAAACTCCCAACGCTGGAGGGAGGGCTGGGGTGCGGATGGCATGCTGACTGCCTGCCTCGGAGCCCACTGCCTTCAAACCGCGGACAAGGTGGCAACCACCGAAAGGGAAACAGAAAACAGTTGGCGAATTCAGCTGTAGCAGATGCCAGGTTTGTCACGAACACAAGGAGGTGCTCTTACACATCCTATAATCTCTTTAACATTCAGGGGAATGAAAGGCGCTGAGTTTGCAGCTATGGAAGAAAGACACTAGGTAGGTGGGAGGGGTGGCTGCAAGGAGACTCAACTCTAAAAAGGAGACAGGTCAAAAGAGAAAGAAAACAGCTAAGGGGCAGGAATGGCAGCGCTCTTGTGGCAGTGCCAAATAAAGCAGAAGATAGCACATCGATCATGAGAGGAATCAATGAGACGTGCCTTGCTATCTCTGACGTTTGTGCAAACAGCCCAGTGAGCACCACTGAGGTCACCGGTGCCGAGAGGTGCTGCTGGCACCTCTCTCTGATTCGAGACGAAGCCCGTCCACTTTCCAGGGTAAGCCTCGGATTCCTGCACCAGCTGAAGGCAGCCCCAAGCACACTCAGGAGAGGCTGACCTGTGGGCAGCCCTGTGCTTGTCTCAAAGCAACCTGGCAGCAGAACAGTCATTGGAAAATGCATCAACTACAGCAAACACTACTGAAAAACAAATAGCCCCAAGGTCCCAGCACCCTCCTCCCCATCACCCAGACCCCCAGGGTCCCAGCACCCTCCACCCACAGCTAAGGCAATGTCATCTCCCCCTGCAAGCAGCCTTAGCAGAGCACTACCACATCATCAGAGATGCATGCAGCAAAGACATGCAGCACACGGCACTAATGCTGCCAATACCAATTTAGTGATATTGCAAAAAAGAAGTGTTAGCACCAAAAATCATCATCTCATATGTGATTAATATATAGTGCTGGGGGGGGGGGGGTGTTATTAAAAATAAGCTGCTGCAGAGTTCACCATCTATCTCAGTGGAAGGCACTGAATGGCTTGGACACAACGTGCTGGAAAAGGCATAGTGCTTATTAATCAGACTGTTTTGGAAGGGTCCCTGTTCTACCATACACCTGCATGTGCAGCTGTGGAATCAGCCCAGCTGCGCTGAGCTCCCCAAGCCAGCTCAGACCCCAACAGCACACAATTAAAACAACACAAAGCTCATGTCACATGCCGAAAGCTATAAAACCCACATAGAAAACTCATCCCATGACCTGAAGCCAGACACATGAGCTTGTTTTTCACCCTTTAAAACAGCCTCAGGCTATGTTTATTTTTCAGTGAAACCTCAGTGTTTTCCAGGCAAGGAAATGTGTGCAGAGCCTGACCGAGTTTCAGCAAGGAGGGCCAGCTCTACCCTTTGCCCAACACCTCACCTGGAGATGCAGCAGCATTTCATTTATCCTGCTTGTCTCAGAAACCAGAAACAGAGCTGGCCTTCATGTTCACTCCCACCCATTTAAATTCAGATGATAGCAGATGTGGTAAGGTTTCCTTCAAGGGGAGAGAGGCCATTGCAGCTTAGAGTGGTACAGCCATGCTGTTCTATGAGCACAGTCAAATGGTAATTTCCTACTCTTACCATAAAAGTCAGTGTTGCCATTGCAGAAGGTCTGGGGACAATGTGAAATCGGCTGTGCCAGGAGCCAGCAGCCAGGTAGGGGTTTGGTCAGCAGTAGCGAAGTGGGGGTTTTGTCCTTCTTATGCCTGCCCTGTACCATACAAAGAATAAGTGCTGCCAGGAGTGCTAAGCCCTGACCTCAGGCCAGGATGATGCCCTTCAACAGCGCCCCACAACCCCTGAGCTGGAAAGAAAAATCAGTCCTTTGTACCGCTAGACTTTGGATCTTGAATGGCACTGCAAAAGGGATGCTCAGTTTGGTCACAGATGGCAGGACAGGCAGCCTTCCCCCTCCAGAATACATGTTCAAGCCCCACTGGAGTCACTTAATGATCAACCACCTGCATTCACAAGCACTTTTTCCATCCACAGGTTTGCTGTGTGCTGCCTCGCTGCAGCACCAGGTCACCCTCTGCTCCTCCCTCCCACGAGCTTCAGTGCCCAGGGCTTGCTGTCCACCCCAGGGGGGATTTGCTGCTGCCCTGGACACGGCTCAATGGAGGGGAAACGGATTTAGCCTCAAACAAGGTCCTGTTTTCTCGAGATGAAGGAGTTTTCACAGGGCAGCCTCTGCTCCCACACAAAGGACAAGTTGTTCAAAACTGCCCCTTGTCTGTCCAACAGACAGAAATCCTGAAATCATCCCAAAGTCTATGGGGATTTTGGTTTGTCACATTCTTGGATCTATTTCACGCCCTCACCTTGTCAGCTGCCGAGTGCATCACCATCTCACATTGAGAAGCCAAGGATGCAATGTCACACACACACCTTCAGCAGGAGCTCAGGAGGCTCCTGGGCAACTCACCAACACTTCTATCCAGTAAGCAGTCAAGAGATAATGAAACCAGTATCATTTCAGACTATTTGCCACCTCCGAGCACCTCTCTGGCTTCAGCCAGCTCCATAAGCCACACACTGCCCACTCCGGGCTTCACCCCAGGAGCAATAAAGCAGTACTTCTGTGAAAACCAAGGCCCATAGTAACTCTCAGGAAAAAAGAAGTCATGTCTCTGTTGCCATCTTTTTCATTTCCTTACCGTAAGTAGGTGATCTGTGTCAACTAGTGACTGCTCGAGCTTCTAGTTAGTGTCCGTGCTACCCACTCCAGACCTCCTTCCTCTCACCCCACAGCCTGCCAAAGAGAAGGCTCCAGGGAGACCTCAGAGCAGCTTCCAGTGCTTAAAGAGGCTACAAGAAATCTGAAGGGACAGGTCAAGGGGAATGGCTTTAACCTGACAGGGGGGAGATTTAGATTAGATATTAAGAAGTTCTTCCCTGTGAGGGTGGTGGGACACTGTCACAGGTTACCCAGAGAAGCTGTGGCTGCCCCATCCCTGGCCGTGTTCAAGGCCAGGCTGGACAGGGCTTTGAGCAACCTGGTCTAGTGGAAGGTGTCCCTGCCCATGGCAGGGGGGTGGAACTGGGTGAGCTTTAAGGTCCCTTCCAACCCAAACCATTCTATGGTTTTATGATGAACTCAGAAGCCCAACTACTCTCTGAGGAAAACAGCAGTCTCATCCAAACACGTACCTGCAGAAAAGACAGTACCTTCCTACATCTCATAAGGCTGCCCTGCAGGGACAAAACCTATTCATCATTAAATCTATGTCTGCTGCATTACCAGTAGACAATTCACAGAGAGATTTTACTGAATATGTTCAACATTTCTGCAGGGGTGAAAAATCAGTTCTAGGCACAGCCCAGGCACACTTGCCATGACTTGCTCAAATTACCTGGGCAGAGCATCCCTTCCGGCTGAGAGGAGACAGCTGCTGAGAGGAGACAGCCCAACTGGCTGCTTGGGAAGCAGCCAGCCACCAATGCTTCCCTGCCTTCACAGCTGGAGAGCAGCAAAACCTACAGGTTTGCAGGCTCACCTCCCCAGAACAGGGCAGCAGGGCCAGGGGCTGCTCAGCCACATGCAAAGCAGTGCTAGGGCGGCTGCCGAAAGCGCACGAAGCCCCAAACCCTGCCTGATGCCCAAAAGGGAGCCTCTGCTCTGGTGTGTCCAGCAGTGCCAAGGGCTTCCGTGCCTGGACTTCAGGCTTCCCTGCTCCAGCAAAGCCCCTGTGATGAGGAGACCCCGGGTGCCTGCAGGGCAATGGACAAAGGGCCCCCAGAGCCCCAATGGCTGGCTTACGAAAGCCATCCGGGGTCATGCCAGTACACAGGGTCTTGCACAAGCAGCAGGGCCTGTGACAGAAGGCAGGGCTGGATGCCAGCCACAGCTGGATGGGTGCCAGCAGTGGGAGCTGCCTCCAGCCCTGTTTCCAGGGCAGCCCAACCACCACAGCACGGCCCAGCAGACCCCTCAGGGGAAAGTCCACTCTGGGCTTAGCTGCTGGCTCCACTGCTCCAGCCCCTCTTCCATTACAAATTGATTGGCTGGAAACCGAGTGGCAAATTTACTTACTGAGACACCAAGGTACCGTGAAACCAGGGCAGTAAAGCATGACAAACAGAGAAACAGTTGTATTTGCTTCCCAAGATGAATTTTAACTCAGATGCACCTGAGGAGTGCAGTGCCCAGCCAAGGATCCTCAGCATCTCCATGTCAAAGACAACAGTTCTCTATCACTACCCATCACTTGCTTTTCAAGAGGAGCCCAGACAGCGGCAACATAACTTCCAAAACACCATCACTCAGATATGAAATCTGGTACTCTGATTTATAACTGCTTAGGCCAGGCAGAGAGCAGTATTGCACCCTTACCACTGGAAAACAGCTGAGGCTGCTCAAATGAGGCTGGAAACAGGAAACTGGATTACCTCAAGGGTTTAGACAGCCAGAGGCTGAGATGGTCAGGACCCAAGTGGTCTCCATTACACTTCATTTCTCAGTCTCAAGCCTGCTAACGAGCAACACAATCTGCGCAAACAACACATATGCTGAGATACCCGGTGCCTAGGCTTGTTTTAGAACATGCTGCAGTCAGGAAGTAGAGATGCTCACCTCTAAAGCCAGGCAGATATTCCCCACCCCAGACCACAGCTGCCCAGTGCACAGAGCAGGAGCACAGGAAGCTCCTTCACCACCCCTTAGCAATGCCAGAATGAGGTTCCATAACAAAACAACTCAAAGCTAAAAGGAGCAGAGCTAAAGCCCTCTGGAATGGCCCTTCTCACTCGGCCCCTCTCCTCCCAGCTCAAGCCCATCACCCCCCAAGATAGAATTTCAGCCCCTATTTGAAGGTTGTTTTCTTGGTGCAGGAATCAAACACATCATTTTGCAATTGCTGAAAGGGGGAGGAAAAGTGGATCCCAGCCCGACCTCCCTGAGACAGGGAACAGGAGGAGAGAGTAGGAAGAAAGTTCTCTGTACAACCTCTCCCCAAAAAGCGTGCTTCCTCCGACACAATGAAAGTCACTAAACCAGTCTGAGGACATGCTCCTCCCAAAGGAGATCCATTTGCACCTTGAAGGGGAAGGAAAAATGATACTCACACATAGAAGATTCTCTTCATCTTGGCCTATGACACCCTCATCCCCAAAGCAGTCCCTGTGAAGGAAGCTGAATCTTCCACCCTTGGAGCACGTAGCAAAGAGCAGAATTTGCAGATCACCTCTGGATGGGCAGCAGGGAGAAATGCAGCACCAGCTGCAATCAATGGTGCTAATGGGCAACCCCTGTTCCACTCCTCCTGCCTCTAAGTACCAGCGTGCCAGGAAGTAAATCAGCACCAGGAGTTCCACTGATGTGGGCTCTGCAAAAGCATCAATCAGTGCTATACAAACCCCAAGCTCTTCATGGTGCTCATTCTACCTACCTCCTATTTGCCTTATGCTCTCAGTAGAGGCACATGAACCATTCCTGCCCACTAAGGCCTTCAGTACCTGCCAGCAGGTCAGAGGGACCCAGCAGCCCTGCCAGCCCTTGCAGAGCCTGGCCTTTCTAGAGCCCTCTGGAAATCATGTTGCTAGCTGGTGGCTGGTTCAGAAGCTACCACCAAAATGCTGGTGGTCACATGAACATCATAAATGGACAGTGTGCCCATTTCTGTCAGAAGGCAGACTAATGGTTTGAATGGAAGCATTCTCCCTCATGCGCCAAGTGAAAATGAACTATCCTCCTCTTCCTCAGACGCAGGCAAACATGGCAACAAAAGTGTCTGCAGTGGCTATAAGGGGAGCTATTCACACAGCAGCTCCCTTCAACATCACTAGCATTATAAAAGGAAATTAAAATGGCTATGCCCCAAGAAGCTGTGCAGCAGGTCTTCAGAACATAAAGAATTATTCCGAAAGTTATTAAGTGTCAAAGTAGATTCAGGGAGTCACTGAGCAATTCCAGTCAAAGGCTGGCTGACATGGGTAGAAGTCTTGGAAAATTTGATTCAACAGGCAGAAACCTCTTAGGCAGATGCCTACTTCTAAATACGAAGTACTCTATTTAATCACCCACACTGCAGTGTATATTCATATCTGAGATGAAGTGACATGCGTGCTTATTCAACGAGATGCCAGAAGTGTCAATATCATTCTCTCTCTCCTCCTTAGCTGTGTGGAAGACTTCACCATCTGCTGCTCAAACTTATTGCTACTCATTTCTCAGTGAGACAGATACTAGGTTAAAGTGGCAAAGCTCCACTTTCTGAGCCACTTTACACACTGAAACTCTTGAGAAATCAGAGCTGAGTGGTTTGGAAAGCTATCTCAGCTATGTATGGCAATGCTGCCTATTTTAAATATCCATCCTATGCACTGCTGTCACCTCAGATGAACTTGTTTCAGGGCAGCTTCCCTCAAACCCACAGAGATCCTCATGTATGCCAGCGTCCTGGCTCCCAGCTTCTTCCCACATGCCCAAAACCAAGGTGAGGCACAGAGGGGAGAGTGGGTGAGCACCTCCAGCCCTGCTGCTTGGGGATAGGGGATGCCCCACAGCAGAGTGATGGTAGGGAAACAAAGAGCTCCTGGGGATGTCATGGCAAAGGGGCATCCCAAGATTGCAATACATCCCATAGGAAAGCAGCTAGCAGCCACCACCCCAGGCAGTAGCTTTCCTTATGGGAGAAATAAGAAGGTGCTGGAATGCCTGTGCACTGTGAAGTTATAAACCTCTGTGCTGCACAGAGGCAAACTGCCCATTTTTTTTTCCTGTTAATCTACTATGGTATTTCAGTAATTACAGTCCATCCCCCCCAGGATCACAGTCTTCTTTCAGATGATGCTTTTTCAAGCTGAAAAGGCTGGCAGTGTGAGGGCAGCAGTTTCAAACGCAGCACAAGCGCTTTCCCGACACAGGGATGATTGGTCAGAAGGAGCTGAATGAACAATGAGGTGGAAGGATCATTATTCTCAGCTCATTGTTAATTCCAAGGAAGAGGAGTTTGTGAGATCACTGGGTTTACTACATGCTGGGAAAATGTTAGTCATACGCGTACTTTTTAATTAGTAACACAGTTCCGCTGGGCCTGGGATTTCCACAGCACTGAAAAAGGACTAAGAGTCTGTCCACTAATCAGGATGTTTGAAACATCAGCATCTCCAGGGTAAGAGCAGGTCACAAAGTTAGCAAAAAAATACTTCTCTCAGTCTGTGCAGACTCTAACCTGAACCCATTCTCTCCCTTTGATGCTGGTCTCAGCTAACTGGAATCAGCCAGATGTGCATGGGATAGTTGAGACTGCTTTACAAAGAAACTTCTAAGTCACTTGTAGCTAAAATTAACTGCATCTTTTGTTTATTTTCAGAAGGATTTTAATTCCATGGCAGGCTATTAGGACTTTTGAATCATCCTGAGAGAGGCCAAGTAAGCACTGATTCATACCTCAGACCTACACTACCATTCTTCCCAAATCCCAAGGACAAAGTGCTAGGTGTGGAAAACAGCTTCATGCAGCATCAGTAACTTGTTTCTTTCAAAAACACCTTCATTTCTGTCACACTGGCTTGCTCACACACAGTTTAGGAAAGCCAACACCCAAAACAGCAGCAAAAAGCACGTTCAGAACAGTGGCGAGCAGGAAACCTCTCCCTCCTCCTTCCCAAAGGTCACATGAGGAGGCGGCTTGGCCTAAACCCAGCTACTCATCAGAGTAATAAACTGAATAATACACATATCATACCTCCCACTCATTAGTTACTTAACAACCGCTGAGCTCTCTGGCCAGCAAGCAGCCCCATGAAACTCCCGCTAGAGCAGGAGGTTGAGCAGCAAGGTCTGGGGCAAACAGTTCTCCTGTGGGGCAGGAGAAGCAGTATGAAGAGCCATCAGGCTAAGACGTACCTGAATGTCAGCAGTCACCTGAGAGGAGCTGAGGACACAGAGCTCAGAAACAAGGCCCAGCTGCCTCGCCTCTTGAGCAGGACCACAAAGTCAGCCAGCAGCTTCCCCATCACCAAGTGTGTCATCTGTCAGCCGTGTTGTGTCAGATAATACACCAAAAACTGGGTTACCTATCCCTAACGCCACTGCTGTTACACAGTTTCTTTGCCAAATCCTGCTAGAAATGGCAGGGCTGTTAGGCTAGCTCATGGATTACCTGGATCATCAACCATTCCCTCCTTCCAGACGCTTCTGGTCTTCTAAAAAGCGGTTTGAAAAGAAGCTGATTACAGATGACTATGCATAACAGGCATGGAAACAAACTTTGAAGTCATGAGTTTGCCCTTCTGCTAAGGGTGCCCCGACTTGAGAGCAGACAAGCCCAGTCAGGCACCAAGTCCGGTCAGCAAGGAACCAGGGCTTACAGCTTTGCATAGCAATCAAGCCTCTGTCTCTACCATGGAGCTTTAAAGCAAAGATGGTATGAATCAGAACCGAGATCTGCAAGGAGCGGAGAAGTCAGAAGAAAACAGGAACGAGGGGTGAGGAGAGGGTCAGGCAGACTGGGGTTGACACCACGCTGCCTGCCTGGCCTAACTCCCTCCTGCATCCAAGGGATCTCTGTATTTCATCAAACACATAAAATACTCAACATTGTCAAAGTCACATTTCCACGGGGGCTAGCGCTGAAGGACTCACAATACAACCGTGCGGCTGGGGGAAGCATCCCTCCTGCTTCCCTTCCTCCCTCTCTTCCTCCTCTACTCTTTCTTTCCTCCCTCTTTTCCTCCTTTCCCTCCATTCTCCCTTTTCTTTCCTCCCTCTCCCCGCATGGCTCTGCACGTGCGGACTTGCACTGATGGCGAGGCAGCCCGGCGCCTCTCCCGCGTGACGCACCACCGCACGTCACCACTCTCGCCTCACACGGCGACGTGCGGGATCCCCGCGCTCCCAGGCCCACGGCCGAGCCAGCCCGAGCAACCCCCATCGGCGGGGAAGGGAGGGGAGGAAGAAGCGGGCGGTGGAGAGCCCACGGGACACCGACCCCCGCGCCGTGACGTCCGTGGGAACCGCACGCTCCCCTCTCTGACGTCAGCAGCGGAAAACCGCCGCTGGGCGATACCACTCCTCGCCGGGGGCGGGGTGTGTGCGTCGGGAGCGCACCCAGTGTACTCGGCCTTCCCGGCGCAGCGCGCCAAGCCCGCGGCAGCGGGAGGCGGGGAGCGGCCGCAAGAGGTGCCACCCCGCAGTCCCAGCGGGTGGGCTTAGTGCGGGCGGCTGCGGCACCCGTGCTGTGTCCATCCCCTACTCCCCCCCTTGCGGATGGTAGGTCCCGGATGTACCGGCCGCGCGGGGACACGCCGCAGCCGTCTCTATAAGCGCCGCCGCGGGGCGGGTGCGGAGCTGCTGCTCGACTCGTCCCGTCCGGTCCCGCTCCGCTCCGCCCCGCCCACCCCGTCGGGAGCATGTACCAGGGCCCTGCGCGCTGCCTGTGCTCGGCGCTGCCCGCCCTTTCCTGCGCACCCGTCGCGGCTGCCTCGGTCACCCTCCTGCCGCCGCGGCCCCGCGCCCCCCCGCCGCCCCTCGGCCCCGCCGCCCCGCGGGCAGCAGCCGCAGTAGCAGCGGCGGGAGGCCCGTCCGCCCCGGGGGCGCCTCCCCGCACAGGTAGGTACCAGGGGAGAGAGGTGCGAGGCAGCCCTGGGGCGTGTCTGCGGGAACTGGGGCGGGGGGGGGGGGGGTACAGCGGGAGCGCTCGCTCAGGTAACTAGCCCCGGAGCCCGGGGGGGACGGGAACGCGTGGACTACATTGCCATGCGTGCGATACCCTGAAACTTCACGTGGCCCTGCAGTGCTAGGGCAGCAGCCGTGGCTTACGCTCATAGGCGTGAGTGAGTGCCATCGGTGACAAGCTAACAGGCGCTGCTGCACAGCCCAGAAACGAGGGGTTCAGCCAGGGCCAGGTGCCCAAGCGCAGCTGGCTGCATGAGATGATCCCAGGTACTCGTTGGGGGACTCGCTTGGTGTCCCAAGGCCTTTATCCTGCTGTCAGAGGTGTGCTGTTGGCTGACTGAGCTGCTCCCTCCTCCTCCAGTGTTGCACTTTGTAGTGTAGGATATACTTGACTCACAGTGGATTTTTTTTCTACTAGAGACAGTGGGAAAAGCCCAGGTTACCCTCAGGCAAGCAAAGGCAGTGATGCTAAACCATCAGGCTCCTGCTTGCCTGTACCGTTAAATGATTATGTCCCGTTTTTCATTCCCAAAATGAGACCTGGGAAGTGTTCAAAGTCCCGTGTGTCCTTGGGTGCATGCTCTGCCTGGAGTCCGTGTGAGGACAGCACCTTGGCACGGACCGTGCTCCCTCCCTCCGTCCCTCCTCTGTGCCCGCTGACCTGTGCCGTGGCTTAGAGCAAGCGGTGACACACCTGCCAGGCTTCGGCTGCTCACATTCAGCCTTAAGCCGCGTCTCTTGATGAGCAGGCTTGCTTCTGAACATGGCTGAAAACACCCAGAGCAGAGGCTCCCAGTGGAAGCTGGGGCAGTGACCACCTTTGCTCCATCTGCTGCTTTGCAGTAGGAGAGGGAAGATGTCCCTGTGCCAAGTATTGATTCTGTGTGTTACTCAGGACAGAATTTGAGGCTCCCTTCTTTTTCCGGTGTTGCCTGTTGACCAGGCAGCACCTCCCTTGCTGTGATGAGCTCTCTGAATCCTTGTATGAGGGTTCATGCTCCACTGTGCATAAGACTGACCCAGGTGCCAAAATCAGGACTCGGACTTTAAGCAGCAGCAGCTGCAGCTTTGAATGTGGGTGGCCCTGGGCTATTCCATAGCTGCCCCAAACAAGGCTGTATATGTAGCATGATACCCTGTAACATAGGATGTGTCACATGGGGACAGCATCTGCCAAGTTTCTCCTTGGAACTGGGGTTGCAGTGAGGGCATCTCTGGCTGCCTCAGTAGTGGAGGCTGATGCAACTACAGACCCGGCTGCAGGTGTGGAGGAGCCATTCAATGGGCAGTGAAATGCCTGTGGTGAGCAAGGTGGGGGCTCTTGGCTAGCAGAGGTGCTGGGAGGTAGGAGATGAAAGGAAGGGATACCAGAGTGCTGTTCATCTTACCCAACAGGTAAGGGTACTGGCTGTCATACCCCTCTGCAACTCCCTGGTCTACCTGTGCACTGCAGTCTTCATCTTTGAGGCAAAGTACTTAAAGTCCATGCTCGTTGCCCAGGATCCTAGAAGTTCATCTCATCTGTGCTATTATTGCTGGATGAACAAACTGAGCTTTGCACCCTGTTCTTCTAAAGCTTAATGAATGGTTTAGATTCTTTCCCTCCCCTTACTGTGATGTGGCACCACCCTGGCTGAGAGGTAGGCCTTTTTATTTTAAGCACCTTGAATAGTAGTTGCTGAGCTGGTGCTCCCCATTACAACACTGAACCAAGAGAATTGCCTCCATGTGCACCACCTACTGCTAAAGTGCAAGCTCAGGAGTCCACTTGTTCCTCTGCATACACCAGCACAATGGTGTCACAGCGCTGACAGCACTGTCCCAGCAAGTTACAGGTCATTTAACTTGAGCTGTAAGGATCTCAGTGGTGACCTTGTACTTGCCCCGCTGCTGTGGACATGTTAAGCATTACGAAAACAACAAATGGATTTTGTGTTTGGAGTTTCAATGTTCAGGTTGCTGCTCCGGCTCCTGTTCTGCAAAACAGTTCAGCCAGTGCTGTGATGGTTCCAGGACTCTGGGGACAAAGGATTTGAGCAGTTCATCAGTCATCTTAAGCTGGAGTCCCCCTTCAGCCAAGGACTTCCAAGCCACTTACAACTGGCCTGAAAGTGTTCCATTTACAGTCCAGGTCCTCTTTCACCCAACATTCCCTGGGCTCTCAAAAGAAGACAGAAAATCCTTTTACTTCCAGAGACATGACTGACTTTAAAAGCTGTTGAATCTGTGCTGCACCTGGGCCATAGCACATCCCGTGCAGGTTAGGTTATTCCTGACTCTCCCCAAAGAGCTGGATACCAGAGGGATGATGAGATTTAGACAGCACTTTGTTTGCAGCGTGGCAAATGCATGACTGAACTTAGACTTCATCCTGCTGTAATAGATGTATGCTGCTCAGGGCTTTAGGGTGGACTTTGGGCTCAGGTACATTACACCTAGATTTCCCTTTCAATATTCTCCCTCTGATTCAGGCTAAGCAGTGAGCAGCCAAAGCTCTTGCTAATGGCTTTTTGCAGCAGAATAAGTCTGTTATTCCTTTGGAGAGCTCTGCATGAGCTGTTTTCATCAGTGGCATGGCAGGGGCTGTGCAGAAGCCACTGCCTTCATGTGGGTTTCCCTCCTGACACAGTCCTAGCCAGGCACTGGGGAGGGCAGGGGTGTGTATTTGTGGGTAGAGCTGCACATGGTGTAAGGTTTCTGGCTGTACTGAGCTGCTGAGGGCACCCCTGAGGTAGCAGAAAGCACCATGTACTGCTTTCCAGTAGTAAGCACCAGTACAGCTTTCCAGCTGCAGCACTTCACTATGGGTTGTGCCTACCCCAAAAATAGGCAAGAAGCTCCCTTTGGAGCTTTCATTAAAAGCTCCATTGATTTCTTTGGGTTTCTGCATGGCTGCCTGGCAGCTCTGGTAGTGTGTGATCTGGACCCTTCTGTAACCAGCACAGAGCATGCTTTTGTTCCTGCTCCCCATCCCCTCACGGCCTATCAGGGCCCTGCTTAGGGATTTCATGTTTGGGCCTCATTCCCTCGTTGTTAAATGGCATTTCTTCTACTTCAGCAGTACTTGGCTTCTTGACAAGAATTGTAAACTTGTAAAGGCTGCAGAAACTGAAATGGTTTAAGCACAGTTCCCCAAGAAGGACATTCATGTTTGCCAGCCCAAGCTTACATCTCAGTGTGAGGAACTTCTGGTACTGTAAAAGGATGGAGATGGGGAGATAAGTCCTACATGCAGTTTAAATTCCCAATTTACAACTTTCTTAGACCTGTTCACTGTTCCACTGGCTTACACATACAAAGCTTTTATGAAAACAAGTACTTTTAGCGTCTTTAAAAGTACCTGTTTTCCTAAAGACAAGGACATGAGGCTTCTGCTCAGGTCTTTCTTTTCTCTTTTACTCCTAAGTGTGTTTATTGAACTGTCAAGGCTTCCATCTTCCTGCCTTCCCTCTAGCCAGGTCTGTCCCTATCATGTGTCTGTCACCAGCTCTTACAATTGATAATGTTGCAGTTCACACTAGCAAAGGTTGAGCGTGCAGTCGTGTTGGGTAGCACTCCACATCTGCCATGAGATGACAAGTCTTTTCTGCTTCCAAGTAACTGAAATTACAAATAAGCTTGCTAAAACACTGCTGTGGGGCAACAGCCGTGCAACACTGAACTGCTTTTGCTCAAGATTACTTTTGCAAAGCGCATTCACAGTAAATAAGTTGAGACAATGATGAAGCTCTGTCAGTGGAGCCTCTTGTGCAAGTGCTGCTCTTCCTGCCTGTGTTTGAAGGGAAACCAAGTGTCCAGACAGGTTACTTGGGCAGAGCACTGAGCATGGAAAAGAGCAGACAGCTTCTTTCCAAGTGCTCCCCATGTGCTGTGGTAGGGGTGGCACTTCAGAGCTAAGCCCTCCTCCCAAGGAAGGGTTGGAAGAGATCTTGGAGTGTGCTTGGCCGTGGCAAGGACTTCAGGCAGAGATGTGTTAAGGATGTCATGAACTCTGTGAATTGCTCCACAGCTACCCTGTGCTCTTGACGCTAATAGTCTCCTGCGTGCTTGCAGTAAGCAAGCCTCAGGGCATTTACTGCTGCACTGTGCTGCTTGTGCTCTTGTGAAGTGGGAGGAGGTATTTCATAGAACAGTAGTCATGAGAGCTGCTGTCTCAAAGGGGTGGCTCTGCTGCTGACCCCTGCTGAGAGAAGAGGGCTGCGGCCACCTTCTGTGCATAAACCAAAGGGCAAAACAAGAGTGGGACACAGCATCTGTGGAAGCTGTGATGGAATGTGGGACGGGGGGGCCTCCCTGCAGGAGACATGGGGTCAGAGGCTAGGTGCATTAACAGGGAGAGCTGGGGCACAGCTGCTTATTTGCAATGCATGGATGTGTGCTTAAGATGGCCAAAGGAGATGTGGGGAGGGCTGCAGGACTGCAGGGTGTGCTGGAAGCTGCTGAGCTGGGGCACAGTGTGAAGGACTAAGGAGCTGAAGGGAGAAAGGAGGGTGAGGTTGTAGGGCAGCAAAGGGGAGCTGGAGCGAGCCCCTTCATTCCACATCCAAAGGTCTAAGCCAGCAGAAGCATTTGGCCACTCTGTGCTCACTGAAATGTTCGTTGCTGCTTTTGGGGCAAGTGAAGCTGTGATCTGAGTTTGCTATTAAATATTAACCTGAGGGAGCGAGTCGCTGTGCTTGCTGCTCTGCAGGAAGGAAGCCAAGAAGCATCCCAAATAGGCACAGGGTACTGGGGTGTGTCTCCATTAGAGACATGCTGCACATGAAATAAGGAGCAAGCAGTATTTGTCTACCTGCTGGGCTCTGTCCTCTGAGAGGAGGAAAAAAGTACACTTCTGCTGCCTACACCACATGCAGAAGTGAATCTTAGCCCTACAGTTCTGGATGAAAGACTCCTTCCCTTAGAAGACACCTGCACGATGTCTTAAACCAGATCATTTGCACACTGCAGAAGTTAGCAGCCCCTGGTAATAAGCAAAATCCAATGAAACTCTGGACAGAATTAACCTTATCTCTGCATCCTTCTTATTTTATGTCAGATTCAGGCTCTTGCAGAAAGCACACATTGCTGGCACTGTAACAAGGTTATCTACAGGGTACCTAAGTGATGAGAAAAGTCGCAGTGGACATCTCTAACACCGTTTTTTCTCTTCCAGTGTGTTCCATGGGAAACAGCACCAGCCAGCTCTACAGCGCACTCACCAAGACGTTGAGCAGCAGCGCTGTGTCCCAGCACCAGGACTGCCTGGAGCAGCCGGACTCTGCACGGCTGGATCCTATAGACCCCAAGGACCTGCTGCAGGAATGTCAGATGGTTCTGCAGAAACGGCCACCCCGCTTTCAGAGGAACTTTGTGGACCTGAAGAACGCTGCCAGTAACCACCGCCCCATTCGGGTCATGCAGTGGAACATCCTTGCACAAGGTAGGAGATGCCTCTAAGCTCAAGGTGTGACCTTGAAACCAAATGCAGCAATAAAAGCCTTTAAATGGAGATGTGTCTGTGTGGTTAGGCATGACTGGGACTGGCAAAGCAAAGGGTGAGGTGAGCTACATGAGGCTGAGGGTTGGAGGGACATTTTCAGCACTTGGAGTAGTGGCTTGCCTTACATCCTATAGGAAATGAGAAAAAGTCTGTCCTTGCAGCTGTGATGCCAAAGGTAGCCCTGGATGCCTGTCTAAACCTAACACAGTATAGTCAAAAAGCTGTGACCCATCACTCTTAGGTAGCTGGTAACCCCTAGAAAAGACAGACTCATCCTTCCCTAAGGTTTATTATTTGTAGAGTTTCTCTGTAGTGTTCCAATTGATTTTTTTTTTTTTTTTGGTAAACTATTCAGAGATTCAGATCTGTTACAGGAATTCTTAATTCTTCAAAATAATATTAAACTGATTTTGTTTTTTTTTCCTCAGACCCCTAAAATCCAAGCTGTAAATTGACTTATACAACAGCCTCATCTTAAAATCTTTTGGGGTGGGAGATCCCCCATCTAGAGCCTGCCTTAATATTCTGCTGTTAAGTCAGTCCTATCCCACTGCATTTTGTCCTTGGTTTTAAGGTGTGGCAGGCATATGTGGAAGCACTTACCACAGAGTAGTGACTGTTGGGAAGGTAGGGAAGGAGTCTAACTTGTAACTGTAAAGGGAACTTAGCTTTCTTTTGGACAGACTTCAGTGTTTTGTGAAGGGGTTCTCAAACCAACTGGCACCCTTAAAGTCAGCAGCTCCTCCTGAGAAACCCATCACCTGCATGAGGGATGTACACATCTTTTACAGAGAAAGCAAAGCCTTGTGTCGCTTCCCTTTATAACCTCTTACACCATGACAGACTGACTGGTTTCATATAGGGCTGCAAGCGGCTGCTGCAGGATGGGAGCTGGCTCCTGAGAGCAGAGCCTTACCTCTGCAAAACCTGGAGTAACACAGCCCATTTTAGCTATTGACAGCTGTTTATTTTTCTCTTGCTTTCCCTGCTAATGCCAGCTCTGGGTGAAGGCAAAGACAACTTTGTGCAGTGCCCCATGGAAGCTCTGAAATGGGAGGAGAGGAAGTGCCTCATCCTGGAGGAAATCCTTGCGTACAAACCGGACATCTTGTGCCTGCAAGAAGTTGACCACTACTTTGACACCTTTGAACCACTCCTCAGCCGACTGGGCTACCAGTGTACTTTCTTCCCGAAGCCATGGTCGCCGTGCCTGGATGTGGAGCAGAACAACGGGCCGGATGGCTGTGCCTTGTTCTTTGTCAAAGACCGCTTTGAGCTCATCAACAGCGCTAACATCCGGCTAACCGCCATGAAGCTGAAAACCAACCAAGTGGCCATAGCTCAGACACTGAAGTGCAACGAAACTGGAAGACTGTTCTGCATTGCCGTCACTCACCTCAAAGCCCGTACGGGCTGGGAGAGGTTTCGGTCTGCGCAGGGCTGTGATCTTCTCCAGAACCTGAAGAGCATCACCCAAGGTGCAAAGATCCCTCTGATCATCTGTGGAGACTTCAATGCGGAGCCAACTGAGGAGGTCTACAAAGAGTTTTCCAACTCCAGCCTCAACCTAAACAGCGCGTACAAGCTGCTGAGCCCTGATGGGCAGTCGGAGCCCCCTTACACCACCTGGAAGATCCGGCCATCGGGGGAGTGCCGGCACACGCTGGATTATATCTGGTATTCCCAGCATGCCTTGATTGTGAACTCAGCCCTGGGCTTGCTGACTGAAGAGCAAATAGGACCCAATAGGCTGCCATCATTCAATTACCCTTCTGATCACCTATCTCTGGTGTGTGACTTTAGTTTTAATCAAGACCCCGACAGACTGCTGTAATGTGTTGGAATGCCACCTGGTATTGCAGTGTCTTAACTCACCACTGGTTTATTTTAGAGAAGACTTTTGAAGCTGGAAGCTATTGAAGAATGATGAAATACTGTTGACAAAAAATTATTTCAGGCACTTGTTTGGAGTCACATCTGCCTTTCAGTGCTTGTGAATCCGGATCCTCCAAGGGAGGAAGAAAGGAGTCTGTGTTCTCATTGTGGTGTTCTTGCCATGTCAGGGTTTGAAAACTAGAAGGCAAATGAGCTTTACCCTTTCACTAACCCTGTGTTTAAGGATTTAATCCTCTAATGAATGCGGAGGCCTTAGTATTTAAATCAAAACACTTGTGTTTGTAAAACAACTTGCCCTGACAGCATGCTGATTTTATTTATTTCATGTTTAGCTTGTGCAAGTACCAAAGGGAACTAGGCTTGACTACTCAGTGAGATTCTCTTAAATCTTTTTTTGGTCCAATTAATGCGGTTTACACATGAACAAATCCAAGCTCACACTAGTGTTGTCCTCATTTTTACATGACTTGAGATGATGATTTCATTACAAGTGAATGGATAATAGCACAGTGTGAGGAAAGCCCCCTCCAGAAAGAGCAGGTGAAGAAATAAGCAGCTAAATGTGTCACATAGTAGTATCCTATGAATGTGCATGTGTCCACTGCACACATCCAGCCTGTAGGTATGTATACACAGTGACCCTGACCTCTGTCCCTTCTGTGCTTCCCTCCAGAGGATGCATCTAACCAGGGAGTATTTCCTCCTCTGCTTCAAATACAACTTTTCTAAGTGGTTCAATCTTACTGTTTCAGTGAAGGGCCAGTCTTTGTGTCGAAAGACTTTCTTTTATTTATCTTCAGAATCTAAAGCTACACTGGAACCTGTTAGAAGATAAAGTTTATTTATAGAGAAGTGTGTGATCCTGCATCTGACTTGAAATCATACAGCAACAGTGCTCGGGAGCCTCTTTCCGTGGCCCAGGGGAACTCTAGCTAAGCACCTAGGCTACATTAGAGCTGTGTTAGTGTAATAACTCTTGTGCATGGAGTGGTGCTTATTAGCATGACATTGGTATTGCACATGTGGGTTGTAAATATGCCACTATGCTGGAAAATGATGTAGGGAGAGAGGATGAGAAAGAGACAACTGTTGGAGCTGACTACATGTAGATAGTTGAGAAAGATGAGGCAGAACAAATAAAGCTGTACTTCCATGTCAAGTAAGGCCCGTAGTAACTCTTAAATGTTCCAGGTGTTTATTAATAAAAGCCTTTGGCAAAAAAAGTCATGTCTCTGCTGTAATTTTCATTTCCCTGTCATAAGCATGTGACTGCTCAAGCTTCAAGTTAGTGGCCATGCTACCCATGGTCCTTTTCCCCTGCCCCTGCAGTCCTAATCTTACAAGTTGGTACAGCTGTTGTTTCCATGGCAAGTGCTCTTTCTCAGAGTTGAAATTCCTGGGTTCCACAGAGCACTTGTAGGAAGGGAGTTACCTTTAGCCATGTTAAGCTGCTCTCTGTCCTAGATAAAGATGAAGCCTAGACTCTGTTACTGTAAACACTACTCTTTCCAGCAGTTGTGTGGAGCATACAACCTGGCCAGTACTGCAAAGCAGGGTGCAGGTATTCCTCCCTGAGGGCTGATAAGCATGCCTAGCAAAGCTGGCTCTTCACAACAGGCAGCTGCATTTGTCACTTTCTTTTAAAACATCATTTGAAGAGCAAGAAATGACACAGATATGTGCTTTACACAGCCTGTGAACTACTGTACCAGTGTTGCTGGTAAGTCAAATAGAGAATCTGGCAACTAGAAGTCCCAAATTCCCATACAAATGCATTCCCTTTCAGGCAAAAAAATGAAGTGCTGTGTTGCACAGCCATAACACTGCATGTGTTCCTGACTCTTGCAGGATGGTGGCTATATGTTTCAAAGCAGAGGATCTGAGGCCTCTCTTACCAGCCTGGAATGCAGGACTCCTCGAGTGAGTGTGGGTTTAAAATTTCCTGGACAGAAAGGATTTTATAGCTAAGGAGCCTGTCTTGCCTGGTGAATACTACGAGGCAGAAGGGGTGGCTCCTTTGGGGGAGATTCTGAACCAGAGATGGAACACTCCAAATGCAGATTTTTAAGCATCCCTGCCATAGACATTACATACTGGCTAGACTGAGACTGCTTCCTTCTCACAGTGCTGGCTGCCCTCAGCTGCAGTCTGAGGGGGTGAGATGCAGTGCTGCTTCTCCCTTGCAGTTATCTTCTCTTAGGATCTTCCCTCAAATGGTCTTGCAAAGAGGAGAAATACAATTGCCCATTAACAAAGGTATCTAGCCATCTGTAGCTAAAGTCATCTAAGAACAACACCCCAGTGTGGACCTATAAGATAGTACCTTTAACAAGTCAAATCCTTGCTCATCCACCACAGTCACACCAGAAGCTGGAGTTTCCATTCAGATCCTTTTGGCAGTTTCTAGAAGCAACTACATGTGAGGTAGAAAGCTGTGACTTGAGAGCAAGGGTGATATTGTACTCAGATCTGTATTTGGGGGGGGGGAAGCCCAACAAACACCACAACCCAAAGCCAAACAAAAAACCAACAAACCAACCAAAAAACTCCCACACCACCAAAAAGCCCAGAATTTACCTTTTACTTTTGCAGGAGCAGCTCTGTTTTCCAAGGCCTGCCTAGGGTGCCCATCAATGTGGCACCCTTTCCTCCTGCCAGGGCACAGAGCTGCAGCACCGATTATGGCAGGCTTCAGATAACAGCAGGAGCTGAACTCCCACAGCTACCAAACTGCCACCATCACTCTCACAGGGTGAGGGTGTTTGGTATCTGGATGGTTCTTAAGCCATTTTACTCAGCCCCTTGTTTTCAGTGCTAACTCTCCTAGCAAAAAAAACAAGCTGTGGAGAAGCAGCATGATCTATGTGATAGTGCCATCACTGCAGAGCTCTCCTGGAGTGCAAAAGGCTGGGATTCTTATTTCACCCTGCACACGTGACAGATGTTCACTGCTGCATATCCTTAAAGGGTAATTTTGAAGGCGAGGGCAGGGTGGAATAACTCTGAAAAGTCTGGGGTCTCTCCCCATCACAAGGCAATTCTTGGTATCATACTCATCCCTGCTATAGCCCAACATTGAATCCTTGCTGCTGTACTTTAATAAGAGGTAGACAAGACACAGAAATTAACTGGTAACTGCCATCAGCTTCACCCTTTTATTCCAGTCCTTGCTATAAAATACATTTTGGAGACAGTCTCTAGTGGAAAACTGAAGTGAAATATTGCTCCTGCTTTGTTTCATGCAGGAAAAGGCTGGCTTACAGCACTAATGCTTTTTGCCTGCTATAATTATCAGTACACTAAATAGTCTTAATAGGAAGAAGCAGGAGGGTTTTTAATTTTTTTTCCTATGTGGCAGCATGACTCTTACAGTAAAAATGTTCTCAAAGCTCTTCTTGTGGCTGTCTGCCTTATAAGCACACCAAGGCTAAAAAAGTCTCAACAGATCCCTTGCTTAATCTTGAATAAAAGCTGCATGAGCTTTAGCAGTGACAGTTTTCCCTTACCCTCAGCTAGCTGAAGGAAGAAATGACCCACTTACTTGCTGAAAGGCAGAAGCTGTCGCAAGCTTATTAAAGCACCATCTCTCCTGGAGAACAATTAGATCAGAAGCAGATAGAATCACTTGGATCTTCTTCACTTAATAAGCTTAACACCTGCTATTTGAATGGTGTCTACAAGGCAGAAACTGAGGTTAGCTTGTTCTGGCTGTGACAGCCATCATGCATAACAGATCCCTGCTGCAGGTGTCACGGTGAGCAAGAACTGAGGCTTCAGGCACCTGTCCATTTTCCCATTAACTCCTGACTGCCCCTGGCTTACTGATCCTTGATCTGCTCAGATGTAATTCCCAAAAGTCCTAGAGTTGAGAAAATCAATTAGCAAAAGATCCCAGGAGCTCAGCCTTGTCAGCAACACACTTTAGCCAGATCACCTGAGCTGTGTTAAGGCACAGAACCCTTTGCTAAGCAAGACAGACTTGGTCCAAGAGAGAGTAACAAAACCAGTGGTCTCCAGGGTGGGATTCCCTTTTCAACTTTTCTTGCCACAACCCAGAAATGTTTATATTCAGGTCTGAGTTGCAACTTGCAGTTAAGATTTTTTTTGTGGATTACAGTGTTACCCTGTCCTATAACCTACTATTGTAGTTACTTGAAACAAAAATGTTTGTATCTGTAAAGTCAGTGATACTATGCCTGTATTATGTCTGAATGCCTTCTGCCTGAATTGTACTCACTTCTCTAGAAAAGTTACACTTGCCAAGGATGAATTAAAAAAAGCTCACATCTAGAAAAGTTACTACTTGCCAAGGATGAATTAAGTCCGGGCTTTTCTACATGAGCCACCAGCTTCAGGTGTAAAAGCCAATCCCAGTTTCACACATGGACAAAATAAGAGGTTTTTCAATGGGATTGCATAAGTCTAGGAGTATAGCTAGATACAAACTTAAATCGTTTAGTATCCCTTTGTCTGTTTCAGATTTCAAACCTGACTAAAGTTCCCTTTTCCCAAGGTCACATCCTCCGACACCATTAGTAAAACCATTTTTTGTCCACATCATAATTAATTATGTCAGCATAGAGCAGCATGTTGAACAGCAAGCTTGCACAGACCCAGATAAAGATCAAAGACTCAAGTTACACGTGGGAATTTTGCTCCTCTGCCACTTAGCTGTATAAACGCCCAGGAAGAGGCTGCCTCCTGTGAGAAGCATAGCTTGATACCTTGATCACATACCACCTCCAAAGAACAACCGGATCTCAGGACAACTCAGAGGAACCACATGCACACAAAGCAATGCTGAAGAGCTGTGCTTAAGCAGATACACTGAAATCACTGACACTGTGATTTTTAATTTACCTAGCAGCTACATTAAAAAGGTGAAGAGAACAAAGACATACATGGAAAGGTTAACAAAAAGCATCTTCACTGTTTAAAGCCGTGTTAAGTACCCTCTCCATTTGAGTTACAGCACATCCTTATGCAGATTGAGATCCACAGCACTTAACTTTGATAAATGTTCCCTGGCAGTTGGTAGCATGCATGCCACTCACCCGGTGGCCAGTGGAGAGAGCCACAGGACCATCGCCAGTCCAGTGGCAAGATGCAGCACCACGGCTGCAAGCTGCTTACCGCAGCAGTAGCAGAGACATGCGCCTTCGTTCCTTGTCATTTTTGCCATTACACGATGAAGTCTTGGCTTTAACTTAAGAGGAGGACATCAGCTGGAGATCTTCATCTATTTCCAGGAAGACAGTTTGTCCCCATTTGACTTCCAGTGTATCTAAATTGGGTGTTGGCAAGGTCTCAACTACAAATACTTCAGATAGACATTTCATGCTCTGAGATATAGCACCTTTCATGTAGATCAAATAACAGCCATTTAGAAAAGGGTTTCTTACAGAAAAGACTTAAAAATATAGGTTTAAAAATGCTATTACTTTTCTCTCTGATTTTTCCTCTCTTCTCACTGCTCCATTTCCCTTTGCCCAGAACATTAGAGCCTCTCAAGACTACCAAATTAGTCAATCCACTTCCCTTTCTGTCCTACCTCTTTCTTGGCAACATAAATCCTCTTCCTTCTACATCACCTCCTGTGAAGGAGTCTTTGTCCTTTGTCCCAGGCCAAGAACACAGCTTATCTGTAAGAACCTCTGCTTCTTTGTGTTAACTGCTGGTGGACAGATTGCTGCCTTCTACACCATGCTTTGTTACCTGCTTCAGTTTGTTCATTCATTCTTAAGCTCTGCTTCCCTGCTTAGAGTATGAAGAAGAATTCCTTTTTCAAAAGACTTTCGAAGTTCCCCACATGCTGGCCTGGCTGTACAGAGCTATTCCCACATTTCTTACCAGTGCTTATTGCTAGAACTCTGTAGAGGTAACTCATTCTTCAGTATTAGAAGTTAAAGGGAAAAAAATAAACTCCAATATAAGTAATTAATTAATGGGGTCTCCTTTATAGTTACTGAAGACTTCCATTCCAGATCGCCTGAAATTGCTCCTCCAGGCAAGATTTAGATGGTCATTTAAATTATTTCAAGATTACCCAAGATTCTGCTGTTAATACTTTCCAGGGCATCTCACTAGGAGCTGGGAGTGCCACAGGGCACCTGGCTACCCACAAGCTGATGTGCTGCTTTCTCTGGTAACTCTTGCAATGCCAGTGTGGTCCCCATGAAAACAAGGTAAGCTACCTTACATCTATTTTAAGCCAAATTCTTGTACATGGACTGCAGCTACAGAGCAATTTGTGTACTGTGTGTTCTCACCCGAGGTCTACCCTGTAGTAATGTATCATGTACCTGTGACTTCAGTGCAACTATAAACAGAAAACCTATTTAGATACTTACTTCGTTCAGGAAAAAAAAAAAAAAAGTCTACCTAAAGTCACGTATTTCTGCTGAAGCCAAAATATTAAAAGTTGGAAATGTCAATGGCAACTACATAGAAAGGACTACCAGTAAAACTCAGTATTTCTCTTTTCTCACAGTTTCTCCCTACCAATACTTCCAGTTTGCCTCTATGAGAAGAAAGATTTGTACACTGGAGTAGCCTAGTCCTCTTATTTCTACCTTTCCTTTGCAATGCAGCCTTAGGAAATCAAGGTGTGGTTGGAGGAACACGTAGCTCACATAGCTCCAGAACTTACCAATTTGAGTCTCAGCCACTTAAGCAAACTGTCTTCTTTGCATTAAAACAATTTGGGAGCACATACAAAGTTGTTAGCTGGAGGGCAGTAACTTCTTAAGCTACTCAAGTTATTCCACAAGCACTCGTATGATTAGCCACAATGTAAGAACACTGCATATGCCTACTGTCCTAAACAGGCATTACAGAACTAGACCCCTGTCAGAAGTTACCTCACCAGCTACTGCAAGCTTCACAGGTATTTCGATGAAAAATACTTCAGTGTACTGTGTGAGTTGGTCAGCCATGCGCAGTAGAGGAGTAGTGAGGAGCTCCAAACTTCCACACTACATCAGCTATCTTATGCTGAATGCCTGGAAGATTTCAAATAAGCAAAGAAGGTGTTTAATAGTTTGAAAGGATAAAGTAAAAAAAAAAAAGCAGACCAAACACCATTAAATTTCATTTCTATATTTCAGTAAAACCTACTTGAATACACTTTGAAACAAGAGTACAACAAAATAGAATATACTTCAAATGTTGAATATACAAACTATTATAGTTCATTCTGAACACTGGTACTTCCCTCTTTAACTTCAACTAAAAAAATTTACAGGTTTAGAACTACCTGACAAAAGCTCATGCTGGGCGTGACCTTTCAAGTGACAGGGTAGAGCTGAAACTGAAATGTATGCACGGATGTCAAGGCTAAGTGAGAGACACAGGTATGTTCCAGCAGAAGGCGGAAAGCCTGCTGCCATTTTGTCCACAATTAAGAAATTTAGACAGACTTTTAACTACCATACAAAATATGTTACATGTAATTCTATAACAATACTGTGCTAGGTACAAGATTTTTAAAAAATTTGTTTTAATAAAAAAGCTTTACACAAACAAGCCATTAGCTTATTTCAAGAAAGATAACTGAAAATCAGTCTAAGGCTTTCATTTTGAATCTGCTTAAGCTGTATGATACAAAAAAAAAAATCCCTCTAGGTCTCTGTCTTCATTTAAAAGCTCTTTAATCTTCTCCTTTATTTCACATTCTACAATACCTAGGAGCAGAGTTTTTCACATAGCACCAGTTGAGTACTGCGGGCACACAGTAGTAATTGCTGGTATGCATAGAACATGCATCAAATTTTGTAACAATGAGACTTTCCTCTCCCCCTGAAAACTAAAAGCCAAGGCAAACCTCTCACACAGCTCTCTTTTTAGTGTTCCAGGTCTTAGTGTAACTTGGTAACGGGTAACGTAGTGAACTGTTTGGTCCCTTTTCAGTTCCTCTCTCTTGCCTTCTCTGTAGGTTCAGCTGTTTCCCAACTGGAAGAGGAAGTTTTTGTCAGCATTATAAATGTGGTTCAATTCCCACTGAAACACGGGAAAATAATTTTTTTTTTGCAGTAAGTCTTCAACATATGCATGTTTATTGACATTTCAAAACTCTCCTTTTCGACTTGGTGATTGCATCACTTCCCGCCCCCCCCCCCCCCCCCCAAATTATGTCAGTATATTCAAAACCGTAACAGTCTACAAGTCCATGCTGGAAGCAGCCAATTCTTCATTTCTCACACGTTATGATTCCTTCTCTTTTCATTGTTACAGGAAGAGCAATAGCTGAGGGCGTGCTAACTACTACTACATGGGTTACAGTCTTGCTTCCCTCTGCCGGCTTCTCTTCTTTTACCAGCTGCAGTGTTTTCACTTCACGATCCTGTTTTAAAGCCGTTGTGTCTGATTTGACTTCTGGACTTTTTATAACTGCACTAATCACCCTGGGAGGAGTCTGGCCAGATGCCTGCTGAGCAGGCACCGATAGTCTCATTACTGGTGTCCCATGAGCTATAGACACTGGGGTTAGTGCTCTAACAGCCAACGGGGTTCCCACGATGTTAATACTTCCTGACCCAGAGAGGCCTGTTTTTGTTTGTAACTGACACTGCGTCAGTTGCGTGGCAGGGATCGTAATGATTTTGGCAGGCTGCATTGTGATTTTGTCTCCGTTCTCAGCAGAGGTTGGCATCACAGTAGGGATTGTCTGGATTACTACCTTTGGAGTTGTTGCTGTTGTTGGACTTGTGTTGGTTATTAACGGTGACCCTGCATTTACCGGCTGCACTGCCACGGTGGAGATTTTCTGTCCCAGAGAGGTCATTACAACAGGCACTTGCATTGCCACACGTACAGTCCTGCAAAATAAAGATAGATGGGTGTTTCTACACCAAAACACAGGGCACTTTTAGAGATGACAACAGGGATAGACAAATCTAGTACTTACAGATTTTTAATGGTAAAAGCAAACAAACAAGAAACACCCAAACCTTTTGCACATCTAACAACAGGACTTTGGAAATTCAGCAGCATTCATCTCTCCTTCCCTCTGTATATATAATATTAAAACGTGTAAGGGCAAGCATATTAAGAGATGGCTCTGATCACATAAACCAGACTTTCATAGTATTCTGTCAAGTTACACTGCTGCTTACACATCAGAAATGATTTCCAACATTTAAAACATAAACCAAAAAAACTAAAAGACAGCTTTCTAGCCAAAAAATTGCTTGTCATTACCAAATGACAAGCCCAAGCCACATTAATACAAACCTTGGAGTTGTCGTTGCTGGGACAGTAGTAGTGGTAGTTGAGGGACGAGATGATGATGTATCGCGCGTTGGTGAGGCAATATTCACAACTCTGGTGACTGCTTTTTCTGTTCTGGTACAGCTTAATGGAGAGGGATTTTTTCCTCCACGTGCAGAGGTTGCTGCTTTTAGAAGGTTTTCTGCAGATAAAGACACTCTTTCCAATGACTTTTCATCTGTAGGCATTGTTAAATCTTCACTGCAGGACTCACTTTTGTCATCATCTATGACAACTATATTTTTTGGCATCTCCTTAAACTGATACACAAGCCTCTGACCCTCAACTTTCGCAAGGATTCCTCTTTGATAGTAGTATCTGGAAGAAAAGTGTAATTAAGTAGTAACCAACATAGTGACAGATTTTGAAGAAAACACCGTTCTGTGCTCAGAGGAAAATCTGAAGTAGCCACAGTAAAATCTACAAAGTGAGAAAATACAGAAAGAAACTGGCAGAGCATCTGAAGCATCTAGCTGAAAAAAAAAAAATCTGACCTTTTAAATATATACTTCAGGAGCTAAACTGAACATTAACTGATAACATAAAAAGCAACAGGAACTGCAAGACACTGAGGCTTTTTAAACAGCCAAGTCAGCAAGAGGCCAAAACATTTAAAATTTTGAAACTATCTGCCTACATTTCTATAGGCAAAATTAAGAATCAGATTTAAAATTACAGTAGAAAACATAAAGCTTAAGAGTTTTTACCTCAGAGCTCTTCCCATAGTCTCATAGTTCATGTCAGGTTTGTTTTTGTGTTTTCCCCATAGCTTGGAAACAGCTTTTGAGTCCACAAGTTTAAAGATTCCCTTCTCTCGCTGAGTCCATTTAATGTATCGAGGACAAGTATTTTTGTCCTGGAGAAGGTCCAGAAGAAACTCCCATAAGTACGTTGTATTTCCTATAACCAGAAAACATTTAAATATTAGAAACCCACTTTTAAAAGATAACAGAAAGTCCTCCATACGCAGGTAACTCTGAATGACCTGAATTACAAGCAAATGTTACAGAGAGGATCCTATATAATGCAACCTGCACACACTCCTTCATTCTGTTTCATAAAGCTTCCATAAATATTTACATTCTGAAAGGAGCCAATCCAAGTGATCTGCTACACAGTGCAGGAGCCTGTTTAATCCTGCACCCCTTCTCAGTTCTTGAAAAGAAGTGTGGGAGTGTTCCAAGTCACTGCAACCTTCATCTGTAAGAAGAGTTCAGGATGTTACATCCTCCTGTCCTTCAGTATCAGAAAATGCACTGACATTTCCATTTCCTCTTAAAGCAAAAAGAAGAAGAAAATCATAGCATCAGAGTTGTGTGGCAAACACAAAATCATTCCCTGGGCAACCTTTGTCCCTCCAGTGCCTCACCATGTTCACAGTGAAAGGCTTCCTTTTATCTTACCTAAATCTACCTTGTTTCAGCTTAAAGCCATTCCCCTTTGTCCTGTCGCTACATGCCCTTGTAAAAAGCCCCTCTACAGATTTCTTGTAGGCCCCTTTAGGCACTCAAACCTGCTCTAAGGTCTCCCCGAAGCCTTCTCTTCTCTAGCCTAAACAAGCCCAACTCTCTCAACCTGCCTTCGTAGGACAGGTTATTACTACCTATCTTAACACAGAGTAGGTTTTCCACAATGAAAGGCATTTTCTGTGGCCAGCCAGTTATTACAGCTGCCAGCTACTTGAGACTGTTAGCTGCCATCTCAAAATAGAAGGATTAATTGCCAGAAACTACAGGAATGGTACATAGTGCTGTATGTATCAACAAACTGTCGCACTGGTACCAGCATCCACGTGGAGAAGCTCAAAGACAGTTTTGCTCCTCCCAGCCACATACGATTTCTACAAGAGTATTTGTGCAAAAAAAATAGTATATAAAGAGAAACCATGCCTGAGCTGCCAATCCACTATGTGAGGACAAAAAAACAGTACTATCTGGCTTTAATTAAAAACACTAAGAAGTCTCCAGTTCCTCCTGTATAATAAACTGAAGGCACAATTAAATCAGATTTACATCTGCCTCACTTTGCACCAAAAAAGATATCAAGTCTGCCAACATTAAGAAAAAGCATGTATTTTATGCCATTTGTAGTGTAAAATATGGAAAGAAATACCCTGTGAAAACTATAGACAGAAGTAGATCACTATGAGGAACCACAGAAATAAAAAAACAATACAAAGCAGGACCATCTCCCACTTAATAAGACAAACAGCTATAGAATGAAATCACCAGTACAGACAAAAACTAGAAGGTACAGAAAGATGGGCCTCCTTTCTCCAAGTTATTTGTGCAGTAAACTAAGAACCGGGACACAGTACTATTCAGATAATGAAAATCCATAATAGTAAAATCAAAATTAAAAAAAGCGAAGAAAGCTTTTAGAATACTAAAAAAAAAACAAAAAAAAAAAAAAACAAAACAAAACAAAAAATACCCACCCAAGATGTATTTTTCAGTAAAGCAGATGCAGTATCTGTGATCTCCCTTGAGGCAGACTGCTACACCCAAATCCAAAGACAGCAATGGTGGCCACTGTAGGGAACTTTAATTACTGTTGTGCTGGTTTTCATAAGCTAACATCTGCACAATGTCAGTCTCTTTCTTCCTTGCCCTACTAACAAACGTTGACAGCTCAGGAGCTGTATCTCAGATAAGCAATTACGTAAACAGAGACCTTGCTTTCAAACAAATCCCAAAATAATAGTGGAGCTGACTACTGCACATTCAGCTAGAATGCTACCACTGAAAGTCACTGAACTTTCCTTCTTCTAGCTATAGCAACATCTCCAAATGACTTTCAGTGAGGCAAATGGGAAAGAGATCCACATTTTTCACCTATAACCAGGGGAAGAGTGATACACTGTATGCCAACTCAAAGGTAACCTGTGAGCAAATGCTCTAGTCTGTCTCCCTGCTAGGTGAATAGCAGGGGCTTGAAGTTCAAGAAAGTATCCAGTTTTTGTCAGTAGAAACATTAGCCAAGTATGACTCTCCTGCACAAATTCCTCACTCAACCAGTGAAACAGCGTATCACTGTTTTTCTCTTTAAGCCAAACTAAATTTATTAGTCAAGCCACATATTCCCACTGAAGTTTGTGAACTAAGAAAACTTACTTTCAACCATCACCATTACAAACGCCCATAAACTGCACCTACTTGAGAACAAGCCTTTCAGCAGTAGCTTAACAAATTACATGTCTAGCAGTGAGTTAACACAAAAGACAGCACAAGTCAATAAACACAAAGCAAAGCAAATGAAAAATCAAAGCGTATTGCAGGGCACTTCTAGAGCAGCTCCACACATCCTTGTGCTAGATCTTGACAAATCTCAAGATATCAAATAAAATTAATGAAGTCAGTACAAACTCATCCAGCAAAATTTTAAAGATCTGTGTATTTCCTGGGACAGATATAATACATACACACTGCATGATTTTAAAGACTCAATAAATGGAAAAACATACCTTTGCCTTCTCGAGGTTTCTTCTTTATACCCAGATCTGGAGACCCATCAGGTATTTGTTGGGTCTTCGGTTTACGGCCAGCTGCACATAAACATGGGAGGGAAAAAGAGTATTAATCATCCACAGAATAAAAGTATTTTACAGTTTGCCTCTGCTGAAAGAAGTAGCTTGTGCATATTTTCCCCTGCCATTTCCTTGCTACAGGTATGGATAAACTTAAAATTCTTCAATTATTACGACTACTGCCCATCCAGTTTAACTCATCATTTCATTGCTTGTTTCAGAATCAGATTTAACTCAATTTCAGACAAGTTAATGGCAGGTGAGGTAAGCACCACATGCATGAAGTAAAACTTTGTAGTGTCCAGTTTTCTCTGAAATGTCTTATTTCTTCTTCTGCTATGTTTTTTGCATCCTAGCATGGGTGCTGACCAAAGCATCAGTCTTCCTAAGAAATTTTACTACTGAAACAGTAAACATTCATTTCCACCTTGCACCTGTCCATTAAAAGCTACAGACAAAAGCTTTCACTCAACATTGAGTGGTGCCGCAGAGGACTCGCATATGGCAGGCAGGGCATTAAGACACCTCCAAGCAGCACCCACAGCCTCAGGGATGCAGGACAGCTCGAGGTGCTGCTGGCAGCCTACCTGTGCCACAACCTCAGCTGCCCACAAGTGGGGTGCCCTGCCCGGTCTCACTGTGGGCTGGCAGGGCTCCCACACACCTCCTCCTACCCTCTGCCTGCACCTCCAAGCAGGCTCCAGAGGGAAGGACTCTGTCAGAAGCAAGCTTAGAGCTGCCTACCTGCCCATGCCATAGAAATCCTCTCCCAGCAAGACCTGAGGCTTCCTCATCATTTCACACTTCCGCTGACCTTTTTACTCAAGGTAAACAGGCAGGGAAGAGGATCATACCCCACGGCAGCAGCAGGCTGTAAACATTCCATGCTTCTACCTTCACTTAAAGGCAAGCAGCAACAATTAAAGCGCCTACCTCAGGCACAACAGCATTAATTTTTCTGATGAACAATGCTCTTTATTAAACACTGAATTTCAACAGGCATTAATTATGCAGACCAAAGTTAATGGCTCTGTAACTAGGGCTGAATAACCTTAAACAATTAAGAGCAGGGATTTTAATAGGAAAAAAAATATTTACAAAATAACCTTCATAAAATTTCCAAAGTTCCTAAGCACAGCCCTGTAACACAATGTACCCAGTAATGACTATTCAAACACGCAGTTGAATACAAAGAAATAGTTTAAATCCAGTGTATGACTACAGATTAAATCTACAGAAAACCTTTAATCATCATTTTCTTGCTTACGTAATTTACTGTAGTTACAGTTATGTGTGTTTTTAAAATTCACAGATCTTGTATTTATATCACTTTATAACTACATTTCATTTTCCTCTAAATTACAAGTAAATATTCCATCTTAGCATGCCTGGAAGCTCTAATACAACAACATTCCTTCAGTTATATGAATTGTATTGATGCCTGTAAGAAAACTGCTAGACCAGAGAGAAACTTCACCAGGTGCCAACCTCTCACTGGTAACTGTGAACTCCAACACTATTCTGAAGTTTCTCCTTCAAAACATGCCAATCAGACAAAGAAGATAGCTCTCTCTCACAAGAAAGATCTTGTACTGATTCTGTAAACTGATTTATGGTTTTGTAGCTTACTATTTACCCTGCTGTTTCATTGGAAGAATCCTGAGTCTACCCATTCCCCGAATATTTCCATGTTTCAGACACGAATGCTTACCCACACAAGTTCTCTTTGAATTCTTCTCTACCCTTCCTCCACTTTGTAAACTGTGCTTAAAGAAGACAACAAGGAACTCATATTTTCCTTTATGGCTTGGCAAACCCCATTCTCTTGCCTTTCTTTTTTCTTGCTGGAGACCCATTTTCTAAGAACCCACATTTCAGCCTCTAGTCAGTCTGATAATATGAGCAGAGAAATCAGATCATCTAACCTATCTCCACCAGTGTCAATCACCCAGTCTGCAGCAGTGCACATGATAAATAAATTCTGAGATTGCTCCTGCAAAGAGCTATACATACCTTTTTTCTTTTTCATTGGTTCATGGATATCAGGAGAAGTTGGAACAGAAGATGCATCCATCGGTTCAGATTCCTCCGTTGATACCTCCACTACCGTTTCTGTGATCACATCAGGTCTCATGGCTGCATGGATAAATTCTGGGTTTGACACACAAAGAGAGACAAAAGTTTTCACTATGAGCAAAGGAAGAAAGGGTGGAGGGGAAGTATCTGATGAAGTTTCTATTATTTTAGTCTATCTTGAAATTATGAAATTATTATGAAATTATTTTAATCAAAGAATATGCAGTAGTATAGCAAAATTCTGCTCCAACAACTTGTCACCTAGAAAATCAACCCAATTCCCTAAAATATGCACGCCTGCCAGTATTGTTAGGCATAGAACAAGTATGACACCGGTATTTTTCGAAACTCAACTTCAAATGAAACAAATTAAAGCTTAACCTTTTATCCTTACTCTGATCTCCATTTCTTATTTTGTAGCTTTTGGGTTTCAGTTTAACCATTACTTCATCCAACATATACTAAGTAACTTCAGAAGGAACATCAAGTTGAAGAAATCATCAAATTAAGTTTTGGGTTTTTTAACTGGTAATACTTTGCAGCACAGTGTATTCAGATATTCACTCTAAAATAGGAACACAAATAAAAATATCTTTCCCTTAATATAACTCTTTATTTTAGCAATTTAAAATGTCAAATTCACAGAACCACAGAACAGTAAGGTTAGAAGTGACCTCTGAAGGGCACCTGGTCCAGCCCCTGCTTAAGCAGGGCCACCTAGAACTGGTTGTGCAGGACAGTGTCCAGACGGCTTTTGAGTATCTCCAAGGATGAAGACTCCACAACCTCTCTGGGCAGCCTGTGCCAGTGCTTGGTCACCTGCACAGTGAAAAAGTATTTCCCAATGTTCAGATGGAGAAGTTCATTTTAAATGTGTAACTACTCATAGATCTCTACCCAACAACCTTTTTCAGACAAATGATTTATCTATAAGCATGCTTGTTACAGGTAGAGAAATCCTGTAGAAACTCAAATAAATCAATAATTTTGCAGTAAGAAAACCATATGAAAGAAAAATAAGGAAAAAAGTGTTTTAAGCAGCAATCCTCCATGGAAGCAGCTTTCCCAATTTGCTCATTTTACTAATTAGTGGAAGGAGAAAAGGCTCACAGAGCAGCAACTAAAGCTCACATACCAGGACTCCTGGAATCTCTCAGGCAGGTAGGAGACTCCATATGAAGCAAGGCCTCTGCAGCTTCAATTGTCTTATCCCTGCAGTGCACATTACTTCCATGAACCGATGCCTCCACTACAGAAGTATAAAAATTGAGACCAGATTAGTTAGAAAATTGCTTATTGCTGTATGACTGCAATATTCAGCCTTAAGCATGATAATCCCAAAACTGTCAGGTGTCTTCACACCTTTTGTATCTTCCTGTCAACAGAAATGTGTAGGGACAACACAAGACAAGCAGAACCAACACTGTCACTTCTCCCAAATAGATTTCTGGTTCACAACCATGCTCCTCCTTTCTATGAGGTGATCACGAGCTGACAAAAGCAGACTTCTAGGATTTGTCTTCTGCCTTTAAGCTAACCACAACAAACCAGACTGTAGTGAGTATGGTTACAAACTGACACAGCAGAGCAGGGAACTAGTACCATCTCCAACTATTACCCCATTAAAATCTAAAGGTCACCTCTCTTCGTATTTTCTGTTTGGATAAATATATATATATAAAAAATACAAGGTTATATAAACATTATATATACATAGATAAAAATACAAGATTGGTTTGCAAAACATATATCCAGTTTCATTTTCTGACATTTAAATTCTATGAGAGTTGGGTTTAGCCAGCTTAGTTACTAAAAAACAAAACACAAAGCATAAACAGTATGCAGGGGCTGAGGTTTTTTAAGCAACAACTAAAGGAAGAAGGTGAAATGATCTCTTTTTTTCCAAGTTCAGAAAGTCTACAAAAACTAAGTAATTAAAGTTTGATACAGCACAGACTGCAGCAGCGACACTAGGAAACCCCCCATTTATCAATTAAACCCAGGGTCCTGCTCACAGCCCAGTCTATGTTGCTCACCCTCGCAAAGGTTTTTACAGGCGGTGGTGGTGGCAGTGGCAGCACCTGTTGCCCATGACCCTCTGTCTCGCAGAGGTACACCAGCACTCTCCCTGTTGCTCTTTCCATGTATGGCCATCTGCTCAAAGCCCAACTGCTCTGGCAGCCCAGGAAATCTATCTTTAGCACAGGCAGGGTCACCTATCTCCAGCGTCAGAGAGCTAAAGAGGATTCTGCAATCATGTTCTACAAGAACTTCAGGGCACCTATCCTGTTACTGAGGAAGTCTAAGGAGCAACTTGATGTTTATTTAGATAAAGAAGGGAAAACGCTACTAGTGTTGCTTCTGGCCTAAGAAACAGATTAATGCCAGCACACATGGGGGAAAGCCTTCCAGCATACTGCAGCTTACCTAAACACAAGGACTAAACATATAAACCAGAAGCTGCAAGTGAACGAAATCTGGAAGTATCACAAATGGAAAATTCTGGAGGACTGAAACATCTGGCTGACCCAGGCCGGATGCCCACCCACTAGCTGGCTGCGCGGATTCCCACTGCAGCCCCCTGCAGCAATGCTGTTTAGGGGCCTTTATCTTTTGGAACAGAAGGTGCCGATAAAGCTGACATTCCACCACCACTTGCTTCACCCCAGGCTGGGAACAATGAAAACCTATCTGAGCGTGTAGGAAACTCAGGCTAAAGGAAAGGGTCTCTATACACACTCTGTCCCTGGGATAACCAGTGGCAATCAACAGCAGTTTTGCACTCCAAGCCCTTTCCCCAGCTGCAGGTCCTAGGTGCTCCCCATGCCTGGGGAAGCTGCTGTTTCTTTCCCAAGCAGTTTGGAGGTGTCCCAGGCCAGAGGCTGAATGACTGCACTGAAACTGAGTGGCCCTGCAGGAAGCTCTCCACCTAAACATTCTTCTTTCTAAAGAAAAGCTTCAGCTGCACAGAAATTGATGACTTAAAAGTTTCCCTGCATCTACCAGATAAAACCTTCCCTGATCATCAGAATACAGGAACAATATTCAGATAGTCATTATAAAGCACAGAATCATAGAATGGTTTGGGTTGCAAGGGACCTTAAGGATCACCTAGTTCCAACCACCCCCCGCCATGGGCAGGGACACCTTCCACTAGGACCAGGTGGTTCAAAACTCCATCCAGCCTGGCCTTCAACACTTCCAGAGACAGGGACATTGCCAGGAATGGGGAATGTATCAACTCTACACCAATACTTAAGTTAGAAACCAGAAAGTCCAAATCAACATTTAATGTATTATTATTCTAGAAAAAAAGATTTAAAGTAGGTCAGCAAAGCCTTCTCACCAGCTCCTCTGCCTCCCCTGCAGCAAAGAGCTGTACCATTCTCACTTCTGTTTCTGCTAGTTAACAGTTTTGGGGACCAACTAGATCGCCAGGTTCTGTGCAGGTATCAGGTTCAGTCTATAAAGCAATTCTATAATGAAACTCAAACAACAGTTGCCAAATTTCAGTTGTAGGAAAGTACTGAATTAAAACATTGAAGTTGTCATCCCCTAAATGCTTAAAAGCATACAAAATTTGTGTGTATCCAAAGTATTTCCTTTAGGGAACAGTTTAGATGCTGCACCACATGCAAGAGGTACTGAACAGAGAGCAGGAACAAGGCAAAAACGATAGCCAAGAGCCATGCCTGTACTTTTACAGCACTCTGGCATTCTGCTGAGGGGCTGGAGTGCAGGGAAAGGAGATGAACCCCCCTAACCCCAGCATTAGAGACTAAGGCTGCAAAACCCTATCAGCAAAGCAGAGGGGCAAAGGAGCCACCCAACCTCTGCCCTAAGTAACCCCTCCATTTCCAATAAAACTAGCACCATCTACTCCTCAAAAGCTTCTGGCATTTGGAAATACACACTTCACAAACGTTTTTCCAACATGACTTACCTAGAACTCCACTAAAATTGTCATATAAAAAACATAAGGCAAAAAATAGTAACACTTCTGGCTCTGACTGTAACAAAACATATGCTGTCTCTCTATCATGACAATTAACAAACTAACTTAACATTGCCAAAACCACATCTATTAAAATACTTACTAAAATGAGCACTATTACTAAGTTTGACGTCTTATCAGCTAGCTACATTCTCCACAGTTTTCGCCTCAGAAGTGTTCTTCTACCCAGTGTGCATTAGTTTCCAGTTGTGCTTGGGCAATGTTACTGCACCAATACATCTGGAAAAGTGTAAATTTGCATCTCAGCACAAATTTGTACTTGAAATGTCTTTTTGCCAGGCTAAATAATCCTAATGGAAGACGTCCTCTGTTAGACTATAAAAGTGTCATAGTGCTCAGGCAGGAGAGATGATACTGACGAAAAATACAGCTAGACAAGACACCCCAAAAGATGACATGGGGGAACAGGCTCCCTCGGAGAGGTAGCTATATCCAGTGTCACCAACTAAATACCACTTGTATCACATTTGGTATCACTTCTCACAACAAAGAGGAGGGGGAAAGCAAACCGAAGACTAGGATTCTGCAGTGAAAAAAAAAACACCAACTTCAGTCGGAAGCCCTCACAACAGAAAGTCACTGGCAGTTATTTACTAAGCAGAACCTTCCAGGCTCGTACAGCTTGTGCAATGCAAACATACCTCATCACAGCAACCTTAATCTTCTCTGAGTACCTTCAAGCTTGTGATGCGCAAGAGCGGTATGGCAGCAGGCAGAAAAATCTCTAACCAAAGAATGATGTGTATCATCCATTTCTTTAAAAATGCCCGATTCATAAATTTTCCATTATATTTATACTGTTAACTACGGTACCACTGTGTACATATACAAGACTCCCAAAGCTACAATAGCCTGCATTGCTTGAGTATCCAACTTCATATGTAACTCTGTCACCTTATATACTCATTTCAAGAGGGATATCGCTTGCCCAAATGAAGTAAAATACATGGGTGGAAGTACATTTTCCAAACTTCAGTAAATGAATAACATGAGAACCGACGTTTACCAAACTAGAATGCATTACAGCTACCACTACAAATTTCTCTTTCGTTCTTTTAAATCAAATCTCATCCTACTGCTTTTATGAAGAAATCCGACTCCTTGGCACTTTATTTTAAAATAATTCCTTAAAAAAGTTTCTGGCCTGTTTTCAAGAGGGGAAAAAAAAAATCCTCTTAGAAGAGAAAGTTATTTTGATTTTTAAAACAGTTAACTAGGCTATTTGATGTCTATCTTCACTGTTGACCTAATGTCTTCTAGCTCCACTCTCTAAACCACTAGCTTGTACAGTAGATGATTCAAGGCTCTCAACAGCTGTTACAAAATACCAAACTTGGTAATTAAGTCTGACAGGGCTGTACTTTAAGCTTTACAGAAGAGAATACTGGCAACATACCCATTTTGTAACAAAGCCCCAAGTTTTAACATAAAACAAGAGCAACAAAGTGAATTAAAGCAAGTGATGGGAGGGAAAAAAATGGGACTGAAATTTTCAAAATTGTACTTTCTGAAACTGTGATACAGCTCTTTATCTGAAGAGTTATCAATGTCTGCAGTTACAAGGTCAACACTTAACTGCAGCACCTGATTTACAATAGCTTATCCTTTAATACTATCAGGCAACTAGAGGAACACTTTAATGAAGAATTCAGAATTCCAAGCATGGAACTCAGTCAAGAGTGACTACACACACATTCTAACAGACCTCATTAAAGTTTATTGGTGTTCACATGCTTGTTTTATCTCAGCATTTAAAAGACCACAGTAAATAGCAGCGTAAGGTAGTAACGGCGCTGAAGCCACATTTTAATTAAAAACAGTTGAATTGCCTGTACAGGTAACACCCAGAAATCTTTCTGTATGCAACACTTGACTGGAAAAGAAAGCGTTTTCAGTTTACTGCTTGTTTTATGGCAGGCATTTGTTCAGAAACTGAAGAACAACTCCTTGGGTTTTCCGGCATTTCCCTAAAGCTGACTCTGTTCCTTCAGAAGACTTCCAGCTGTTCACAGTTTAAGGATGATAAGGATGATGTGATCCACTGCACACTGGCAAGCAATAATGAAGACGAGGGCAAGCATCTCAGAACACTTGTTTCACTGTGAACAGTGTGTTAGCATGGTGACAGAAATATTAGCTACAAAGCCAAAACACATCTTTGCAAAGTCATTTCAGAGCTGCTCTTACAACCAGCAATTAAGATAACCTTAAGCAGTAATAATTTTGGTCCAGCT